CAGTAGTGTGCAAAATTCCGGATATTTCACCCAGACTTTTGTGTTTATTGCTTCACTGAAGTCTTTACCTCTGCTGGACTTCAGCCCAGCAGATATCAGGGTGGTGGGTTTGGTGGGCCCACTGGGGCCTCAGCACCCTGAAATTCACTCAGAATAGACAGACATGTCCTTCATGCCTAACTTCAGAGGAATAGAGTGTGTTGAGAGTCCAGTGGGGGTCAGAGCAAAAGACACCATCCTGGGGTGGGGTACAGTCTAGGTTCACAGTAAATCATCAGCTCACCATTCTAGTCCACTGGCCCCATGCTGCCTATAATAGCATGTCTAGCATAGCCACGGCCTATCACAGACAGACTGATCTAAGGGAGGTGGGGATGTTCTACAGGAAGAAGTAGCAGAGAGGTACAGGAAGGGAACCAGCCGGACAGATCTTAAGTAACACCTGTGAGTCCTGGGAGGCAGCTGCGGTGAGATGAGAGAACACTGGACAAGGAGTCAGAAGGCCCTAGTTCAAGCTCCAATCCTACCCTCACTAGCTCAGTGGTCTGAGCAAGTCCCTTGCCTCTCTGTGTTTTCATTTCCCTGCCTGTACAATGACTCATTTCAATTAGATCAGCTCTGAGATTCCTTCACTTACAGAAATCTGATTCTGACCTAAGCTAGATGCCTTCGTATCTGTTTCGCTTCCATTGTCTGCATTGTGGTAACAGCCAGTTAATACTAATGTGCTGATAAGAGCAGCATTGATCCGGCTGTGACTTGAGACACTGTTTGGTGGGACTTTTGGGCTTCCCTGGCTGGTTGTCCTGCCCAAACGCATCTCAGAAAGGCCCCTTCCAAGGAGGAACATCAAGGGCACTTCCTGGCTTTGGGCTGTGCATTGTGGGGACAGCTGTAGATCTGGTGTGGAATTATGTGGGGTGGCACCTGTCTAAGTTGAGGGGGGCAGTGCCTACTTGCTCGTCTCCTGGGGCACTCAGCCTCTTCTTGGTACGCTGTGCCCTCTGCTCCATTGGGTCCTGGTATTTTTTTTGGTTGACTTTTATTATTTTTGAATCAGGGACCTTCTGCCCACTACTCCAAAGCCACCATGCAAAGGTCATGTTCCTTTGCTTCATTAGAAACAAGTTACTCTATGGGCCCAACTGGCCAAACCTAACCACAACTCTGGATCTGGTCTGTGTTTGGCAAAACCTGCTGGACTAAGGTCTGAATGGAGGGCCATCCTACCCCAAAGGTAGCAGAAGCAGGCTGGTATCCTTGAAGCCTGCTGACTCCCACTGAGAAATGAGCCTCTGGCCACAGCCCTGGCCCATAGGAGACCTGAGAAGCTTCATCTCAACACCAGCAAACAGATAAGGACAGATAAAAATGTGTCACGTTCATGCTTCTTCTCAAGCAGCTATTGGTGACGTCCTCAGACAGGCAGGCTCAGAATGGGGCTCCAGGAAGGGGCTGAAAGGAGCTGTTGCCTGTGTCGCTTCTGTCTCTTCCTATCATTCTCTAGGTTCTGCCCACAGGAATCTCCCAAATAAGGCCCAGCCCCAGTGGTTGTTTTCCTAGCCCCCCCCACACCCATTGGCTGCTTGTCTGACATCGTGATCTGGTGCTGTCCCTGCTGGCAGGCAGTGCTCTGCAAGGAGGCTGTGGTCTGTGGTGCACACATGCGTATGTGAACTCACATGTGTATTCACATGTATTCACACACGGTTTGACTCAACTAGAAGTCCTACGAACACCACAGATCTGTTTCCACTCTGTTCCTGAAGATGACTTGGTTAGGCAAAGTTGGAATGCATTTTGTCTAGGTCTCTTTGCTGATGCCTCTTGCAGGGTAAGAACAGTACTGACTGAATGACTCCCAACATATGACTGCTTCCAGACCTCAGGACTTGCTAGGAATGGGTAGACCAGTTGTCTCCAATGACTACCTCCAGCCCTGTACCAGTAAAGGCAATGGATGTGGGAGTGAGCCAGTTTGGCTTTCTTTCTATCTCCCACTTGGCAAGGCAGGGAAAAACTGGTCCTGTTCCCAATTCCCCAGACAAGGTGTCCCTGACGGAGGTTCTGGAAGCAGTTTCTGTTCCTCAGTGCCACCCAGCAAGTCTTAACCTCTCTGTCCTGACCAGAATGGACCATGTCCTACCTGGGAAGTCCCCCCCATCAGCAGCTTAAGCAACGGAGGCCAAAATGCTTCCAACTCAATGGCCACTGTGATCCAAGACTCCGTTCCAGCAAGGTCAGAGCCATGAGGGTAGAGGTCAAAGCTGACCTTATTCACTATGGCATTCAGGTTTCAGGCCTGGGCCCAGGCTAGATGCTTGGAGAACATTTGACGAACGAACAGGAAGATGAGTACAGGTAGCCACAGTGCTAATGGCCGAGCACAAAGTGGGGATGGCAGCGGAATCCATGGAATTCATAGAGTCCCCTCAACATGACCTCCTCTGCCGCCCCCCTTCCCCCCAGCCAGACAGGTTGAAGCACCAATGGTATCGCCCACTGTCAGCATCACTGTTGGTAGGTTTGGGGGTGCTGGTGGGGCATGCTGGGCAATACTGCTTTCCAGCTGAGCTGGGGTGGACTCTGGCAGGGCTCCATGGGAGGTTGGCCTCTCCTTTTTCTGGAAGGAGCTGTCTCCTCAACCCTGCAACTCTCACACACATCAAAGCTTGATCTCTCTGGGCAGTTCCCATCTTCACTTGGGGAAAGTTGATTCTTTAGCCCCGTTCTGCTCCTGCCTGGAGGGCTGTGATTGTGTGCTGTGGTGAGAGGCTGCCAGCTCCCCACAGAACCAACAGCCAGAGAGAGGGGCCAAGAACCTTCTCATACACAAGGAACGTTGGTATACAACATGGCAGGACTTCTGGAATGAGGCACAGGACAGCGGGGGCCTCACCTCTTTTCAAGACACTCAAGACACAAGGTCTTTCTACTCATCATTCTGTGTGGCTAGGATGACGGGTCACAGTCCCTCCCTGCCTCCTGCTGTGCGTGCCATGGGTTCACTAGTGTGGAATGAGGGCCTGGGAAACTGACCGCTCTGCTCAGATCTGAAGGCCTTTCTAGAAAGGCCATCTTCTAATCCATTCACACTCCTTTCCCTTGGGGGGCTCATGGCCTAGGCTCTGGGGAAGTATAGCTTTAGCTGAGCAGGTGTTGGAGAAGAGTCCGCAGAGGGACCTTGAGCTTTCCTCCAACTTCTGCTGTTTACCCTGTCTCCCTTCACAATGAGAGCCACCCCTTAGGCAGCAGACTTCGGCCAAGGCCTGGGCCAGGTTCAAGCAACATTACTGGCTCAGCTTTGGGCTATGGTTTCTTACCTGCAGATAGAGAGTGTGGTTGAGCTTGACCTCCAACTGAATGATTATTAAGTGATGTAAGCACTGCTAATACATCTGCGGCTTAAAGTGTGGCAAATGATGTTTGAATAAAGTCTCTGAAGGACACAACCCTGGTCCTGCCTAGGCCTCTGGTCAGCAGCTGGAGGCTTGAATTGGGGGCTGTGCAGGTGGCGGGTGATCCATTCTTGGCAGTCAGCCTCATCTTCTGACAACTTGCCCGGAGCTGCAGGTGCAGCGTCAGTTGAGCCCAGGCTGAGGTCCCCCCTCTCCTTGCGTCACTGAGGCCGGGTACCTTTGGTTTAAAGTGGGTTAGGTGGGGGAAGGATGAAAGCAGCACCTCCGGGCTGAGAACTGCGTGTCTGCAAGTTTCTCCTTTTGGGTGACAGGAGCGCATGGAGCGTCTGCTTCTGGTCTTATGGGGGTACTTGCATAGGCTCCCCCAATCTGGAGACAGATGTCATTGGAGGTCTCAAGGCGTGCAGGGAGGGGGTGGGGTGGGCAAGTCCAGGGACAGATCAGACTGCATAAGGCATAGGAGCACTGAGTCTTCTCGGGGCAGGGGCATCACAGCACTTAGTACGGGTCCCCTGATGTGTATTACTCCCTAATGGAAGGACAGACAGGTCAATCTCGGGACGCGAGGTCCCCATCCACACATGTCAAACAGGATGGACAGAGGAGAGGACATCTGCTGGAGAGTGGAGGGGAGCAGTACTTTTACACTGACACACACTGGCAAAGTCTCTGCGGCCCAGGATTCTACCTCTGAGGGCTGCACACAGACCTCAAGCAGGGACATTGTGCCCGGATGTCCGACGTAGTGAGTGTGGTCCTCGCATCTCCTCCTTGGGTCTCGCTGATGGGAAGGAAGGAAGGCAGGCCAAACTCACCCCTGTTCTCTGCAGAGGTGGGACCAGACCCAGACTTGCTTCTGCCTGAGGCCCAGTCACGGCAGTTCCAGCACCTGCTCCTCCATCTTCTCCTTCAGACTCCTCCAAGGCAGGGGGCAGGGTAAGAACGAGGCACAAAACCAACCAAACTAGAGCGGCAAGCAGGCCCGGCTGCCCTCTCCCTGCCAAAAAAAATACTGTCATTTTTCCAGAAAGGAGCCAAGCCCGGCTCAGTGCTGACAAGGCCAAGGCAGATGGGTTGGGAGCTGCGGGGAGGAGGCATGTGGCGAGAAAGGCATCCTTCGGAAACAAGTTGGCCCAGCGGCAGCTTGAATACTACAGCTTTTCTGTATGTTCGGTTACGGATCCATCCTTTTATTGTTTCTGGCTTCTGGGGGTGGGGGAGAATCACTCTGTTCCTTCTGTTTCAGGGACTCTTCTTCAAAAGGAAAAAAAAAAGTTAAATGGAGACGGTGGGTCCGGAGGGGAAGAGGCACAAAGCAAAAATAAAAATGTAGCCAACAGAAGTGGGTGACGAGGCCGAAAGTGGGAAGGGTGGGGAAAGCCCAGGGTGGCTGCGGGACAGGGCCGAGAGACCAGGCTGCCTCCAGCGAGCTCAGTCCTATCTCCAGCTCTCCCGTACTGGTGGCACCCAGGGGTGTGTGTGTGTGGGGGGCATCTGGAAGGAGGTTTGTGGATGGCAGGGATGGTCACTGGTCTTAGCAGCTTCAGAGACTCTCCTATGATACCCTGGTCCCTGAAGGTGGCGTCATCTCCCCCTTTCCCCTCCCCCGCTTGGAAAGCAGTGGCTGTGCCCTGTGGGGCTCCGTTAGGCCAGAGAGTAGATGGCGTTGACGGGCGATGTGGCCTCTGAGCTCTCGTTGCCTTCTGTTTCCTCCTTGTCCTTTTTGACAGTGTACTGGCCGATGAAGGAGCCGTCCTCATTGAACTGCCCCTCGCCCCCTTCGCCGTAGTCCACCAGACTGTCGTCACTCTCCTGCTGCTTGATGGTGCCGTCCAGGGAAGTCTGGCTGCCCTGCAGGGGCTTGTTGTCCTCATCGCTGCTCAGAGAGAGAGAGACAGAGAATCAGGGTCTGGACCAGCCCAGCCCAGCCCAGCCGGGGCAGTGGCTTTCATTAAACACATCATGCACAGCTCAGAGAGGATGGGACCTGGGGGATCACCTGTCCTCACCCTCCCTTCTGCAAAAGGGAAACGGGCCCAGAGAGGACACACACTTTCCCCAAGGTGAGGTGGGGCTCTGGTGTGGACTTGTAGCTGGGCTGGGGTTCTTTTCATGAGGCAGGGCTACTGTGTGGGATGGCAACAGTCAGGCTGGGGAGCTCCAGGCCTGTGTGTTACCACCTGTGACCTGGCCACAGGTTATATCCATCAAGGTGGACCATCCGTGACCTGTGACTCTCGGGGAAGGCTCTGATCTCCCAAAGAGCCAGGATGTACGGAGACAGACCTCTCCCTGCCTCTACATTGCTTCTGTAGACAACGTGGTTTAGCAGATACCTGGTTTATCGGCAAATAGGTACCTAGCAAATAAAAGAAGTGGGGTGGTGGGAGGGAAGGGAGTATGGAGACGCACTGAGAAACCAACGTGGAAAGGCACTGCAGGATTCTGGCAGGCCCCCCCCATCTTCAGCCCCTCCTGGGCAGGGAGAATTTGGAGGCTGCTGAGTAAGGTGGCATCAGCCCTGGGGCACAGATGCCCACTTTGGATGTTCGTTGTGCTCCCCAGGACACAAAGGGCTGCTCTCTGAGCTGGCATCTGCGCAGGCAGCGTCTCTCCTCCTGGCTGGGAAGTGCTGCCCTTTAGGTTTGGTGAAGGGAACCAGGTGTTCCTGGCTGCACTTCACAGTGATATGAGCTCCTGGGCTGGAGGCAGCTGTGGGCCAGCGGTGGGGGGTGAGGGTGGGGTCTGGGGTCCAGCAGGTGGGACCACAGTGGTGCCAGGTATTCTGAACAGACCCACGATGCCTTCCCCTGCTCCCAGCCTGCTGGGTGTAGGGAAACAAGTGGCTGAGTCGCCACTCCAGCGTCAGACTGTCAGATGTCAGGGGAGGGCCTGGAGCAGAAGCCAGCGCTGAGCGGGCCTACGTGGAAAGCCATCAGCCCACTCCCTCTGTGCAGCCATTCATGCACCTCACTCTGTGCTCTGGGGGGATCAGTGGCGTCTCCAGGGTTGCACTGCGTCTGGGCACAAGTGGGGTTCTATGAACTAGGGGGCTTTCAATACCGGCTGTCCATCTTTTCCCGGGCTCTCTCTTTCTCCCCCCTGTGTGCTGCAAGGATGGTGTGAGGTGATTGTGGGAATTCCCACCCCGGTGCCAGGCATCTCAGCGAAATGCAATCACCGGACAGAGATGGCCCAGCGGGGAAGTCTTTAGTGTGAGGGGGCAGGGGGACCTCAGTCTAGAACAAACTCCATCACAGAAGCTTGAGCAAAAGGGTAGCCTAGTCTAACCACCTGCCCTCCCATCTGGGAGCCGGGATGCCTGGTTACTGATGCTTATCTCCTGATTCCTGAGGAAGGGGCCAAGGCTTTACGAAGACCAAGGCTTTAAGACAATACAGCTTCCCTCTGTTGTTAACCCAAGTTAAGGGCGAAGAAGTACAGGCAGAGAAGGACTCAGGGTTTGCTCACAAAATACAGAAGTGGAAAGACACAAACAAGAGCATTGGGGTCTGCAGGTGAATGAATGAGGGCAGGTGTGTGTCGGGGCAGCCTGGCATGCTCAGGACACGCAGCCTCTTTGAGCTGTCCCCTCTGCCAGGTGCTGCCACCAGACACAGAGGCCACAAGCCAGAGAGCAAGGAGGATATGGATGCAAGGACTTCAGCCAGGGGGCTGAAGGTCTCCCCAGGGAGTTAGGGACAGCTACCAGATAGGGGAGGAAGGCGGTTACACACCTGTAGTCAAAGGACCCATCCTCTTCTTTGGGGTCTTCGGGGCCCAGGGGAACATCCTTCTTCTCTCGCACTTTGTCAGTGAGGGAAGCAGAGACAGAAGTAATGATTAAGAAGCGCGGCCTGCTCTCCAGGACTGTGCTGAGTGGAGAGCCAAAAGACAGCACCCTGGGTCCATGACACCCCCTCTTTTAGGAAAGCCCCCTTCACCACATTGAGTCTGTCTCCTCTTCACCCGGTGGTTTTTGTTTTTGTTTTTGTCGGTTATGGGGCTTGAACTCTGGGCCTGGGCACTGTCCCTCAGCTCTTCAGCTCAAAGCTAGCATCTTACCACTTGAGCCACAGTGCCACTTCCAGCCTTTTCTGCTTAATGTGGTGCTGAGGAATCGAACCCAGGGCCTCAGGCATGCAAGGCACCGAGCCAGCTTCCCAGTCCACCCCAAGAGCTTTTGCATCTCACTTAACGAGTCAAATTCCCTCCACCTCTCCATGGAGCTTTCCCCAAACACCAAAGAGTTAGGATCCTGACTTTTGCCAAGGGTAAATCCATCCTTCCTTCCTTCCTCTTCTTTCTTTCTTTCTTTTTCTTTTTTGGGGGGTCTGGTCGTGGGGCCTGAACTCTGGGCCTGGGCGATGTCCCTCAGCTCTTCAGCTCAAGGCTAGCATGCTACCACTTGAGCCACAGCGCCACTTCCGGCTTTTTTCTTTTTGCTTATGTGGTGCTGAGGAATCGAACCCAGGGCCTCAGGCACGCAAGGCAAGCGCTCTACCACTGAGCCACCTTCCCAGCCCTATTTCTTTCTTATTTTGCTCAGTATTATGATTTGTGTACACTTCCTATGTCCCTAATGCTAGCTCCCTCCTCAAGGGTGAAGGACTGGTGTTTCTGCACAGGTCCGTAGCAGTGGCCTGGGATGACGGACACTTCCTCCATCTGTGAGACAGCAGTGTTCTGTTTAGATGCCACTTGTCAGCCTGCTCCCTCTTCCAAACACATATACACAGCCAACCAAGGCCTGTGCTGCTGACTATAGCTCTTCCCTTTGAGTAGAGCAATGCCATGCAGTTAAGTCTCCCCCAGCACCCCTAACACCTCTCACAGAGCTAAATAATCACCCCCAATTTAGGTGGATAACTGAGGCCCTGATGTAATGGGTCCCAGAGCTAATCAGCATCTGCAGGAAGATGAGAGTGAGGATGAATTCAGGCTCCTGCTCATTCCTCTTTCTGATGTACCAGGCCAGGGTCTTATTCTGAAGTTGAAGAAAGAGAACTAGGTGTGATCACTATCTGTGCACTGTCTGAAGGGGCCAAGACAGGCTCAGAGTTTATCTGACACATTCCCCAGGTGTCTAGCTCTACTTGGGAAGAGAAAAAGACTCAGTGCGTTTGCCTGAGTCTGGACATCACAGGAAGGCCAGGCCTCTCCAGTACTCTTACAGAAAACAAACCAGAGGCAACAAACACAGCAGAGAGCCATTAAGGAGAGGTAATTCCCCACCTCCCTCACATAAGCAGAGGCGTGGCTTCAGGATCCTTGGGTCTGTGGATATCTGACAGAGGAGGGAAGTAAACATCTTCTCTCCCCATTTCCTTTGTATTGTTTTAGGGGTTGGGGCGGGGGAGGACCTGTTCGTACAGAGGGGGAGGAGGGAGCATCTGAGGAGTGGCAGGTGTCTGGTAAGGAGTGAGTTCATTCTGTAGCCCAGCAGGACTTTTGTTCTCATTTTCGCCATCCATTACTGTGTCTCCTGACACCCTACCCCTGCATTACAGGCAGATGGCTAAAATCAATATTTTCAGGAACAAGAAAGCCAGAGGTCCCTTACCTTGACCTTGGTTTGTCTGGCCTGGAGGATTTTTTTTTCCAGTACTGGGGATTGAACTCAGGGCCTCCTGCTTGCCAGGCAGCCACTCTAACAACTCACTTTCCCCAGATCCCTTTTCTTTTTATTTTATTGTATGATAGGAGCCCACCAACTTTTCCCTAGCTGACCCCCAGATCATAGTCCCAAGTGCAGAGATGCTGTTGGAAATGACTCTGTGATACTACTTTAGGACCATGTAGGGCCACTTAAGAGCGCCATGGGGTCCTACCACAGCAGGCTACCCCTCAGCTCCTCCTCGCCCACCTGAGGAGCTGCTCAGCCTGGTATAGGTTTAGCCTTCATCCTGCCCAGGCTCCTCTTCTGGAACTCTCTGGACAGCCTGTGCCCCACCCTGGGAGAATGCAATTAACTCAAGCACCTGCTATCAGCTCTAAGAGGCAGAGAGCAGCCCCAGGACCAGAGTTCCAACATGGAGAAGCAGAGGACAGTACCCCAGACCTGGCTGGGATGTGGGGACTCACAGGAAGGCTTGCTCCTGACCTGTTCTTCCATCTCACCTGGGTATTTGCCACCTCGGCTCCTCTTGATGAAGCAGACGATGAGTAGGATCAGCACCAGGAGGGCGATGGCACACATGAGTCCGATGAACCAGCCCTGGGTGGCAATGTCGGTGTGGTTGTTGGTGTAAGCTGGCAGGGAGGGTGGGAAGCACACGGGTGAGTGATTGCATGGGGAGGGAGGGAGGGATGTGTGAGGGGTGCAGTTACTTCCTGTGCATGCTTTTCTTACCCAACTTGCTCGAGGGACATAAAGAAAACAGGGACAGAGCGCAGGTAAAAGGTCAGAAAAGAGGCCAAGGACAGGGGTGCAGGGTGCATGGAAGCAGAGAAGCAGCAGCAGGTGGCATCCTGGGGTGAGCATGGCATTCTTGCAAACGTGAGTGCTGGCCACAGCCTAGCAGGGCTGGCAGAGGCCAGGGAGGCCCACAGAAGCACAATTTTGGGTGAATGAGCTCAGAGAGCCAGGCTGCGGCCACACTGCACAACCTGCCACCAGAATGTCCCGCGTGGTCGCAAAGCAGCATCCTTGCCCCACAGCACGGCCCTGAAGCCAACCAGCTTTTGGCAGAGGGCCCTGGACCAGGTGAAGGTCCAGGGAACCCTGAGCCTCTGCATGTCTCCCCAGATTCCTGACAACCACCACCCAGGCCTGAGGACCCCAGATAAGCCAGTGATGGTAGGCCTCCTGCTCGGGCCAGTCACTTATGGACGATTCACACAGGGAGACGCCGCTGGTGAGCATGACAAGCCGTTTGCTGTCTCCTTGCCCTGTGACAATCAACTTCTCTATCCATGCAGGGACCCCTCTCCAAGACCCTTTGTGGCTTGAAGGGCATGCAGAAGGTCCAAGGGCAGGAGCCTTTGATGATTCCAAGATGGCCCATGACTGGGGTTCAGGCTTGGGAGGGCTAGGATTGATGAGAAAGTGCTTCTGAGCTCCTGGCACTCGGACTGCCCAGAGGAGCCTCACGCACACAGCAGTGGACGAGTCCATGGACACATGGCCGGGATTTCTCCCATCTACATAGGTTTCCATGCCTGCCCCCGCACCTCATCAGACATGGTCTTCAAATTCCCCCACAGGATCAAAACACCACCTCATTTCAACCCTCCAAAGCAGCACTGCTGTTGTAAGAAAGCTACACTCCCCGTCCAGAGCTGCCAGGCTCTTTAGCGGCCTTCCTAAACATACAAGCTTAAGCAACCAGCCTCCACCCGCCCTGCCCAACCAGCCACGCTCTAACCAAGAGTCCTGGTTTGTCTTTTTCTCAGCACTCAGCACATATAACCATTTGCTGCATGACCACCAGTACTCATTTCCCCTTACACACAGTTCCGTGGCCACTCTTAATTATTTTCTCAGACAGGAGTTCAGTTCTCGCCACAACCTCATGAGGCAGGCTTTGATTTTCAATCCTTATTTGGCAGATGAGGAAATGGAAGCACTGAGAAGTCAAGAGACTTGCTCAAGGTCACAGAGCCCAGAAGTGGTGGGGTGGGGGGTGTGACTGCAGGCCGTCTGGCTTGTCTGAGCTCCTCGGCATCCCATCTCCCTGGGCCCAGAGGCAAGCTGCTGTTGGGTTTGTCCCATTCCCTGGGGCCGGGAGCACAGCCGGGCAGGGTGGACCTGGAATGGTGGGCATCCCACATTTGTGTGGAGGATGAGCCCTGCACTTCCTTCCCTCTGCTTAGCCCCTCCCTCCTCTGGCTCCAGGGGCTGCCGCTACCTAACTGCTCCCTCCCCCTTCCAAACTTTTGTGTCATCCTGGCACTCAGCTTGGTTTTTGCCGTGAGTCCCTGGCAAAAACTGTAGTCAGGCCAATCACAGTGTCACTTGGTCACTGGATGTCACAGCTTAGGGTCCAGCAAGCTTTCTACTCCTCCCTCACTGTCCCCCTGGGCGGCTGCCCTGCTCTGTGTCGCTTCTCCACTCCACCAATGCCTCAGAGCCCCCCAGCCCTCACAACCTCTGCAGCCACCCGGCTCTGCGCCAGGGAGGGCTCTCCTCCTCAGCGTTAAGTGAGGCTCAATGCCAGCCAGACGTCTCAGCTGTCATGCCCTGCGGCGCTCCTGCGAGCTCCTTCCTCCTCCTCGCCCATGTGCCTATGGGTCCCCTGAGCCCGTTCCTCACCTCCAGGGACAATGTTTCAGCTGCCATCGCCAGCCACCTGTCCCTCCCCTACTTCTGCGCTGGACACTGGGGCCTGACTTCCAGCTGGTAACCCTATTCTTCATTTCTATGACCCCAGGGCTGTGGGTCCAGCACCCTGCCTCTGCCGGGGCTCCCACTCTTCCCACCCACCGGGGCTGCCATGGCCCCCTCCACAGGGCTCACATTCAGGCATGCTCTGCTCTGGACGGACTCTCAGGTCAGGCCTATCGGTACCCATGGGCACAGTGAGACCTGGTGTTACTGCTACTCTCGTATAACACCTCTAGCTGCTCCAACTCACACCATCCCTGGACCCTTAAATACGTATTAATACTTAAAATCTTTTTCCTGGGTCCTGGTTTCCAATCCCAGTAGTCTGGAGAACAGGTCTTTTTGAGCTCCTGTGAACTTAGCATCAAACTGGCCATGTGACGAGGAGTCAGTGACTCCTCTTAAGCGATCACTTTCATTCCAGTGGAACATGGTCAGCCTGGAACCCCATTCTAGGCCCCCTCTCCATGGCAGGTGTTGGTCCCACAGATCCAAGCTTGTCACCCATCATGCCTGGACACTGGATCCTTCACTTGTGAGTACAAGGTGGTGCCTATCTTTTGCACCAACACTGGTCTGCATTTCTGTAGTGATTCACTTGGGCCTCATCTTGCTGGTGTCTGCTCTAATACCCCAGCGGCTCCTCCATGATCTAGCTTCACTCTTGGGAAAGAAGGTCGTGACCCCAGGAAGAGTGGCCACATGGGCAATTTAAAAATCAAATGTAGCATTCTGGTCCTGCCAGTGCCAGAGTGGAGTCCGGGTGGCCTTTCAGTTGTGACTGGAAAGGCCAAAAGCCTTCTGTGAAGTCTAGGCACAAAAGACTGTTCTGAAGCAAGTGGGACGGGTGCTGGTGGCTTATACCTGTAATCTTCGCTGAGATCTGAGGTTCCCAGCTCGAAGCCAGCCAGAGCAGGAAAAGTCTGTGAGACTCTTCTCTCCAATTAACCAGAAGAGAAATCAGAACAAAACCAGAAGTAGAGCTGGAGCTGTGACTCAAGTGGTAGAGTGCTAACCTTGAACAACAGCAACAAAACCTAAGAGACAGTGACCAGGCCCTGAGTTCAAGTCCGAGTGCTGGCACAAAAAAGTAGGATCTTGGTAAAATGGGCTCCACTATACCCCATCCAAGGGATACAGTTTTTAATGAAATTGAAGTCAGAACGATCTTGGAGTCTGAGAGGAAGGTGCTGCAGCTGGGCTCCAGAGTAATTTTATTTCCCTGCCAGTGCCACACTCAATCGATCTGCTAATCTGGCTCTGAGGTTCCTAATGAGCCCAACAGTATCAGACTGGCAGAATTTCCATTCACCACCATGAGCGGCTGGGGATGGATGCCAGAACATGGTCCTCTCCCCTGGCCTGGCAAGCACAGGAAAGCCTCGGTATACAACCATCCACCCCACACACTGTGACCCCTGGGGAAATTCACCTGGCAGGCAGGCAATACCACCGACTTCTACATCTAACTGGGAGGAATCTGGCTTGACCAGAGAAGACAGGCCAGTTGTCCAATGTATTCTAGAAGTGTAAGAGGGGTGTCCTTGTTTCACATACAACGTGGCTCATCTGCTCTTAAGCACCATGTTGCTTCTCCCTCCATACCTGTCTGTCTGTCCCACAGTCCCTCCCTGCTTCCCTGAGGTCTGAGCAGCAGCCTGACTTCTGGTCAGCTGTTAGCATCCACTAGACGCTACCTCACTCTGTCCATATATCCTATCTCAGTAGGGAGGCCCAGATGGGCCTCTAAGAGTCCAACATTAGGTGTTTATAGCCCTTCAGGTCTCTTTGGCTTCAAAAGCTTCAAGGAGGTTATTAGCTTCCCAACAGGATGTTCTGGTGAAGGCCAGAGAACCCGTTAGCATTCCCCCGCGCGGTCCCTTCCATTTCCTTCCCAAACCACAGCAGCATCTGGTCAGCAGAGAAAAGTCTTGGCCTGTGGTTGCTTGGACCACATGTGGTAGGGGCCCAGAGATGTTCACAAATTCTTGCTTTGGTGAAACACAGGGACCTGGAGTTGTGTGAACTTGACTCTAGAGTCCACCCACAGAAAACTGTGTTCCTGAAGGACCTGGACACACAGCTTCAGAAGGTGAAAATGTTTTCTCTCCCTGTGTATTTTGTACACTAATTTCCAATGAGCCTGGGAAGGACGTGAACAATCTGAACTCGGGGACAGGACCACGAGCCTGCCTGCTCTAGCTTGTCTCAACTGCTCTGAAAGCAGGACACATGGACTCTCTCCAGGCCCAGGATAGAAGAGCAACGAGTACTTAGGTCACTGTTCAGGAGCACACAACAGCACTGTGAGCTTTCTCCGTACTGTGACCTTGGCTCCTTGAAGATGAGGATATCCTCATGGGAGCGGTTGTTCTCTCTGTTTTTATTTTTTCCCACTCAGCCACACCCAAAAGCTGACTCTGATATGTTCCCAGCATTCTCAAAAATGGGCCTCTATCCTCAAGCTTTGCTTCTGGCCTCAGAAATGCATGCGCCAGTGAGCGAGAGTACGGGACACCCCCCCCCCCAACTGGGGCAGAGTCCAACCCTCTGCTCTATTGGGTCACCTAACTGTCCAGCAGCCTGGCTGCCCTGTGACAGGATAGCCTAGATGCTCACTCCGATATCCTGCCTCACTCGGCTCAGTCTCTGTGAAGCAGGGTCACCCGGTATGCTGAGTCCCAAGAGCGTAGAATTGCACAGGACAGGTGACAGTGTGGGAAGGAAGACTGAGGGGGAGAGACTGGGCTAGGAGGCAAGACAGTAGCACAGATGGGCAGTGAGTCCCAAGATGCGGGGTACCAGCCTCAGCCTCAGCTTCGCCTGGCCAGGCATGGGGAGGTCATGAATATTCAAATCAACATTCAGAAATTCATCTAAATCATTGTGGTTTGTTCCCTACCCTGTGTGTTTAATAACCTGCATCTGATTAGAACATCCCTAGAGGCTGGGCCTGATCCTTTTCTCTCTTAATCTCTTTCCCTCCCCTCTCTAGTAGCTCCAGGCTTTAGCATACAGGCCCCCTGATTGCCCCTCTGTCCAATTTTAAAGCTACACACAAACCCTCAGATAAGCAAGTACTGGTGCAGTCTCTAGACTCCCAGCCACCCCTCCGGCAGAGAGAGTTCTGAACCGTGTGCCAGGTCTGAGCCCTGGTCAGCCTGTTCATCTGATACACAGCGAAGCTTCTCCTTCTAGTCAAGGCCCCACTCAGAACCAGCAATTTTTTTCCCTACTTACTTTTAGGCATGAAACACTTGAGACAAAAAATAACACCAAAGCCCTAAACAAGTTGCGTCACTTACTGGAATTCTGTCTCACAGATGAGCGAGGGTGGCAATGCAGTGACTTGTGCAGGGATCCCAGGTTTGGTTCCTGGGGAAGTTTCTGGATAGAGCTCCCAGGGATGGCCCTATCTCCTACTCTTGCAGGGAGGAAGCAAGCCCCTGAGCACATGGGGCGGGCTACGAGACTCGCCCCCAGATCCCCTCACTGTGATGGGGGACACATGCTCCAAGCCCCTTTGTTTCAGGCACGGTGGGGGAGCCAGTGTTCCCAGGCCTCATTATACAATCCTTTGTTCCCTTCCAATCCCAGCTCAGCCCCACAGGCTCAGGACTGCAGTTTGCTCTGGGCTGTGCATGCACTTGGGTCCCCAGCTTTCTGGGGGGCCTTAGACACACCATGCAAGGTGGGGATGGGGAGATGAAGTCCTCTTTCCAGGGAAAAGAGACAAGCAGGAAACTGGGATGAAGATGAGAGGCTCCATGCTGTCAGGGGATGGCCAGGCCAGGTCCCCTCTCACCTGTACTGGTCATAAAGGTGATGGCGGTACTGCTGATACCCTCGTTGTCCCGGGAATAAACCCGCAATGTGTAAGTCATCCCGGGATAGAGGTCTGTCAGCTGTATAGGCTGGGCCTGGGCCTTAACAGGGACAGTTTTTTTCGTATGGTTGCCTGGGGAACAGAAACCTCGGTCAGCCTACAACCAGGCACCAGGAGCTGGAGTCAGGACCTAGATTCCTGGTCACCTGCCAAAGGTAGAAAGGGTGGGGGGAGGGGACCGCGGGTCCAGTCCACCGCGCAAACCAGGCAGCCCCACCTGACCGATCATGCAGCGCCCACTCACACCACGCCCATTTTACTGATGAAGCTGAGTTCTCTTTTTAAAGTTCTTCCTTACCACTCTTTGCACTAAACCTATCATGTCCGGCTTCCCTGACCTCCAGCCTGACAGCTGCTTCAGTTCCTTTGGGGGGTTTTCACAGGGACAGGCAGAGTGCCAGTGAGCCTCCGCAGGGTTACTGGAGACAAGGCAGAATCCAGCTCCTTGGCACTTACTCCTGATCTCACCAAGGTGACACATTGGAGAAGCATGTGCCTGTGTGGCAGGAAGCTGAACACATCTAGACCGTGAATATGGATTCTGGATTTTCCTCGAGCCACAGAGAACTCAGTACTGGCTTTTGCCCTTTCTGGCTGGGTTATTGGCTTCATTGCTCACAGCACAGGCCTTGACCCCACTCTGCAGTCTAGGGAGTCTCCCAAGCCACCCATGTGGGACTAGTGGCTGTGGTCTCTGTCTCTTCTGATGGCTCACCCGTGTACTGGCTTGGCCTGTCCACTGCAGACCTCAGAACACACAGACTGTTGAATCAGGAGATCGATTCAGGGGTGAGGCTTGGCTTCCTTTGGGGTTACTCAGAACTCTCATCCTGGGCAGGAAATGGGCAAAAGAACCCATTCCACGGGTCCTCCACAGCACTAATGGCTTCAGAAGCCCCCTCCTTCCAGATCCCGTTACTCCCACCTAGCTGCTATCGAAACATGCATTGATTTCATTAGGCTTTAATTAAGCCTGGCTAAAAGGCCTCACTGAGCCTCAGGGAGTTCACAGGATCCCCTTAATGGCGTCTACCACTACCCACGCCTGCCATAGCCGCCGCCACCCACGCAGCAATGCTTACTGTCGATGTACTCAACCACAAAGTCAGTTCCGGGCCCGAAATTGTGCTTCCAGGTGATGTTGGCCCATTTACTGTTGGGGAGCACCGTGACGTTCCATATGGACTGTTCGTCGGGGGCTGGTGGATGGGTTAGAAGAGGGGTTAGTGATGAGGAGGGAGGAGGCATGGGAGACACGCGCATGTGCACACACTCACATGCACACTCACACCATCAGCTGAGAAAGGGCAGAGTCACAAATGCCTGTGCACAGGGCCTGACAGAGCTCCAAGCTGCAGCCCGGGTGGCCAGGCCAGAGGTAGGCATCCAGAAACGGGCAGAGGCCTGGTATGCAAACAAGAGGTAGAAACTGTCTGTGTCCACACAGCAAGGGCTGGGAATGAGAATGGACTCTGATCCATATCGTTTGAGGCCCTAATTTGGGTTGACTTCCTTCTTACAGCCTTTGTCAGACTGAACAACACAAGGCTAGAGGACAGGACACCAGCCTCCTTGATCAGAATCAGGATGCTAGCAGAGGGGGAGATCAGACAGGCTTCTCCCCCTTCACCTTTGGCATTCTACAGGACGAAGAGGTTATCTTTCAAGTCAAGGAAGATGGAGGGCTTGGGATGCCATTTGATGGCAGCATGCTTGCCTGGCATGTGGTTTTGATCTCCAGGAAAATCAAGCAAGAGTTATGAGATACGTAAGAAAGACAGGACCAAACACGGGAAGCCCAGGGGCTTCTAGAGAATGGTGGTCCTGACACAGAACCCTGGTTTCAGGACCCCGAGGGCTGCTCTTGGTTCATGAGAATGGGGGTGACCTGGACAAGAGCCTTAGATTGCCTCAGGGCGAGTTGGGACCAAGAATCCCAAGTTCAGACAGTGTAAACCCTTCCTCCACCCTCTCATGGGCTAGACTGGACCAAGAGAAGAAATCTCCTTGACACTCAGCCCCCACCCTCAGTGGTCCTGACATCAGAAGAACCCTGTTGGTTGGCTTCTCAGCTCTACAGAGCCTTTGAGGGTGGGTTTCCCTGCAACACAGAGGACAATCATTACCCACTCCTATGCACTGGGAGCAACTGTATCAAAGGCACAGGGCTTTTTGAAAACAGCCTGTGTACAGGAGCATGTCACTAATCTTCAAACGTAATCACTTTTTCCAAAGTCCCAGCAGTCTGATTACCCCATTTTTTCCAGCAAAGATTTAATAGTAGAGGACTAGCATGAAGCCTTGTATTTCAAAGACTTTACAAGTGTGACTCCTGTATATTTTATTAGCATGCAAGGGGGGCACTGTCACCAACTCACTTGTCAAAAATAAATGAATAGAGTAAATTGGTGATGCATTTATTCATTATCTGTTTGACACATGATGGAGTCTGCAGGGCTGCGGAAGTGATAAAAGATTCCCTGATTTTCACTTCAAAGAAGTGTCTTTTCTACTACAATCCTGTCAAGTGCTGCTTGCCCCAGGTGAACAGGATGCATGTTAGGGGAGAGGCCAAGGAAGAGGTTCCATTGATGGCAGCACCGCGCCTGCCCGAGGGGGTCTCCGTTCCTCTGCCAGATGTTTCATTTCAATCACCCTGGCAGCTTTCAGCTCCTGCTCCTTGGAAGTTCATGGCTCTTGCTAGTGGGAATGAGTTCTAATTAGCCACAATTTGGAGATCTGACTTTCATCCCCTTTAGCTCTAGACTCTACAATAATCCAGGAATTTGGGGTTCCAAAATAATATTGACCCCAATCTGGCTTTGTCTTTAAGGGAATAAAGGTTGGAGTGTTTTTAGAAAAGGTTGAGTGGTTTGGAGGTGAGCATCAAAGGAAGGTAAGGTCAAAGAAAGGTCAAGATGATGACTACCAAAGAGCTGGAAAGTTCACAGAAGAGGAATGAGAAGGCCTGGGAAACTATAAAACCAGGAGCATGTCTTGTCCTCTAACTTCAGGTATGGGAGTTGAGGACTATCCCCGACATCTAAAAAGGACATTGAGGTCAAAGAAAAAGGTTGAGCTCATTCTGAAAAGGGAAACTTGGGAAACATTTTTCTTAGGGTATAAGACAAGATAAGACAGAAAGAGCTGGTGGCAGGATGGAAGGCAGCCGGGATGCTTGAGAGAATGTCTCCACTAAGATCAGGACCATGGCCAGGTCCTCTGGAGCATCTCAGACATGGTGGAAACTTGGGGTGTGAGTCATAGGAGCCAGTGCTGCCTGACAGCAAGGCTGATCTTTCCAGAAGGCAAGATTCACTCTTGGCACACTGCTGTGAACTCAACGCACCATAAGGACTCAAAGCTCGGCTTTGGTGCAGGAAATACCCTCCCCTCCCCTCCCCCGCCAGAACATCAGTCACCAAATTACCGCCGGCAGCCTCTAGGAGTCTCATAAATGAATCCTCAGCAGACTTTCCCCTAAAGTTATATGCTGCTTAAATTCTACATATTGAACCTTTGAAGCAAATCCATGCTTCCAAGCTCTAAGGAGCACCACATCAGCTGTGCATCACCTGACTCTTCTTACAGCCCACTCAGTACCATAGAACATACCTAAACATACTCATGGGTGCAAACTACCTGCTTTTAAGAGCTGAGAGAAGTGGGCAGGTGGGAGGCAGTGAGGCTGGGAAAGGGGAGGGACTTGCTCAGGAAGCAGAGGCAGTGAAGGGGCAAGTCTATGGGTCAGTCTATCACTGCCCAAGGAGAGTTCTGGGTGCTTCCTACTAACCGCTGCTTTTTGCATCTGACCTTTGCACTCAGAAAGCTTGAGAGCCTTCCCTGTGTGGTAATGCAACTTTGGTACTCAGTACTAAGAAGTCTAAATAGCAGGGCTCCCAGGCCCAGCAGTGAGATGCAGGAATGATTAGTCCTGGCATTGGATAGAACAACTCTGGCAGTACTAATTCCCGAAAGCTCTGACTTTCTAAAAGAAAAGATGCCAAGAGTTTCTTGAGAGCAAGGAGCCAAGAAAGGGGCTGGGCTTCCTGAGACACTGCTTGCTGCTTGGTGTGGCGGCCACTGCCCATTTGCCAGACACTTTCCACTCCTGGGCCTCCATCCTGCAGGGCTGGGTGCGGACACATTGGAGCTAGAAGCTCTCTCAGGCCAGTTTTGGGGCATCAGATCCTTTCCTTTTCCTCCCTGGTGTACCCAGCCCTGAGTTGACTGCTCAACATATGATTGTGGCAGCCTTGCCATCTGGACCCCGGGAGTTCCTATCCAGGGAGTTTGACCTGTTGAGTACAGGGATCTGAGTCAGGCTGAGGGAAACTGAGGCAGGATGTGAGGGGTCAGGGCTCTAGGCCTTTAGTCTATGGGCCAAGAGTCCAGTCAAGTGTGAGTCTGGCTAGGAAAGGGAAGGGAGGGGCAGGGGACCACCATCCCAGTGCCTGCCTCCCAGCTGGAGGAGTCTGGGGGCTGGACTCTTGAGATAATTGGGGAGGTGGGTGAGGAGGGGCGGCGCGCAGTACCGGATTCCTGAATCTTAGTTCCCGTGGTAGTGGTGGGAGGGCTCTCCGTGGTGGTGGTGGTGGTGGCTGCAGTGGTTGTAGTTGTGGCCACGGTGGTGGTGGTGGTGGTGGTGGTGGTGGGTGCCACAGTTGGGATGATGGGGACCGTTGTTGCTTCACTGGTGGCAGCAAGGGCAGTAGCGTCAGTGCTGCCCAGAATGCCCGTGGCACCCATGGTGGTTGGGGGTAACGTGGGAGGCGCTGAGAGGGAAATGTAAAGTAGCCGAGTCTGGTTGGTTTGGGGGCACCCGGCCTGTACACGTGGCCCCCCCCAGCAAGCAGCCCGGTGCACGGCAGGCAGCCCAATGAAGAGATGGAGCTCAGAAATCAGAAGTTTCCCCAAGCATCATGGCCTGGCCCAGATGGATCACAGCCAATGAACACACAGCCATGGGGGCAGGAAGAGAATGAAGCCCAGGGCGCGTTTCATTTTCTTCTCATGGTCTGTGTGGTTTGAAGCCCCCAGCATGCACCCAGGCAAGGATGAGCATGAGGGAGGAGGGGGACGCACACCGAATCACCCAGACCCCAGCGCCAGCACGGGGCTCAGGGAAATGCCACCTAGACAGGCCTAAAGAGCACCAGCTGGGTCCAGCTTTGGAACCCTGGTCTCAAGAGGTGGGCAGGCATCTGGGCCCTGTCCAGCAGTGGCACAGAGTGGCTTGTCCACATCTTCACTCCTAAATCATGTTTTGTCATACCTGCTATAGTTCAGACACCCAGACCAACCACAGGGAGAGAGCAGCCTCCACTCTGAGCTATCTTGTAAGACCCCAGTCTTCTGCTGGCCTTTCCTGTCCACTACTTGCAGCCTCCTGGCTTCCTTTCCTTATGTCTCCTTTCTGTCTGCCTCTCTTCTTCTCTCCCTTCTTTGCCACATGTGGTGACTCTCCCTGCAATTACTACTATCCACACTTCCTTTTGCTTTTCTTTCCTTCCTTGCTTGTTCTTGGGGTTCAGACCCCCTCCCAAGTCCTTCTTATCACATTAGAACCTGGGAAAGGGCAACACCATCTCTCTAGCCACAGGAGAGACATGAACTCCAGCTGCAGGTGTGCTCCATGCTGGGTGTCCTTTCTGCATAAATCCTCCTCTGGGCCACAGCATGGCTCAGACCCAGGCTGCCTCTCATACCCCACACCTCCCACCCACGGCTGCTCTTTGACATCAGCCAGCCCTGGAACCCAGTCTAGATGTGTGACAACCTTTTCACAGCTCTCCTCCTATGAAAAAGGAGGGTGTGAGGAACACTAACAAAGGGCCACTCTGTCCTTCATCTACACATCAGTATTTATGAAAGCCGAGCAGGAGGCTGTAAGCATGACAGCTCAAATGAGAGAGAGGCAAAGCTGCCTCTCCTCTTTGTGCTGTCTCCTGTGACCTGATCATGACTAGATTCCTAGTGTTATGCCAGTGGTGCACCAGTAGAGACCCTAGACACAAGCAGGTTATTAACTCCCTTCCCCTCAGATCTCCAGAGGTTCCCCAGCCCCTGTCATCCCTACAGACAGCTGGGGAGAACTATTCTCAAGGGGAGAATCAACGATCCTAAGTCTAAGCCTATTCAATCAGAGCCTGGCTAACACAAGCCCTTTTATCCCCTGGGTCTTCAGTATTATGAAGCCCCCATAGAGAAGGAAGAACTATTTCTGGGGTCCCTGCAGCATCTGTACTTTCTAAGATCAGAGGTGTAACCGAGCAGCTGGCAATGCCCCTTACAGCTCATAGATTCTCAGGCAAGTCCAAAACCACTAACACTATATTTCCCAGACCACCTCCACCTGCCCTAGTCAGTTCTCAGACATGAGGAAGGTATGGGAAGAGGGGGCACAGTCTCCCCTTCTCATTCCTTACGCAGGGCTGTATTCAGCTCAGCTCAAGGTGGTCTCGGGCCTGGAGTGTCAGCTCAGCTGCACATACAGCAGGAAAGACGAGCCTGTTTGACCCACCAAGGCAAACCACACAAACAGAAAAGCCAGAGACCCTCCATGCCACGGTCGTCCCAGCCCTGGTTCCCTGACGGCCATGGCTATGTCCACACAGGGCTCCCTGCTGGCTGGTGCGGCTGGAAGGGACCTGGAGAGGCTATTTTGTCCATCTGGCTGGCCAGCTCCCACTTAGTACCTCATGAGTACTGAGCACATGCTAACACGTTCTGGAGACGAAATGCTCACAAGGCCTCTTTTCCTGGACTATGTAAACGGCACCGTCAGAAGCACCCTCTTGTAACTCAATTTGTCCCCGTGTAAAATTCAGGGATTTTGGCTTCCCTTCCCTCACATACATTAGTTACTGATTCTCCAGGCCCCCAAATCCAAGCTGGTCACCCTCGAACCCACACAGACTCTCACGTGGCCTTTCCTTATAGAAGAAGACACAGGTCCACACCACATACTTCCTCAGGGCCAGCATGCTTCCTGAACAATCTATCAAGTATCCTAGACAGACTGAGCAAGTTAGAGCAGATTCCTCACTGTGCACAACTGCTCAGAGATATGAGTGGGAAATGACTTTGGGGGTGCTCTCACCCCCTCTGAAGGAAACGACTCTCTCTGGGGCTGGGAACCTGGCTGCTTTCCCTCCTGCTCTGTGGCAGGGTGTGAGAGGACACAGGGAGGGAGAGAAGGCAGAAGCTGCCATCCTAGTGGCTTCCTCTGCTCACCATCAGATTTCTACCTCTGCCAGCTGAGGTCACCACTGGCAAATCAAGCACCTGCTGTCCCACTCATAATCTGTGTCTGTTGTCCCTGGGCTAGGCAGGGCTACCTCAGAGAGGGCAGAAGCAGGGAGGAAGGGCTGGAGGGGAGGCATGGTAGCCAGGAGGCAAGCTGCCAGAGGCGGGACAGGTGTAGGAGGAGATAAGCTCTCCATGGAGAAATCCACTGTGGCCTGGTCAAAGGAGAACCAGTCATCCATCCTGGGCTGAGCTGGGGAGAGGGCAGAGGGCAGGAAGCCCCACAGGGGGCTGACTTAATAGGGGAGGCAAGCATGCGCCAGGCAGACTTGTTCCCGGACTGCTTTTTGTTTCTAGCCACAGCAGGACAATGAGCTTGAAAACAGTCCTGGTCAGTGCTTAGGGGAAACCACGACCAGGCAACCAAGAGCGGGGAGCAGGGGGTCTAGAAAATTCAAAGGTCTCCCCCCCCCACCGAAAAAACAAAACAGAGGCAGGACCAACTCCATGGGCCAAGGGTTTTTCTACTAGTTTGGGGAAGATGACATGTCTCATTTACTTTCTGTCCCCCAAATCTGCCACGGAGCTGAGCCCGTATCAGAAACGCAGCAAACATTTGCAGATCTGAGCTACATCGAAGATGAGGAGAGCAGTTTCCAGACATTCCAAGGTGTAATGTTTGGTCAAAAGCGCCCACATGGCGTGCGAACCACCATGGCCAAGCCACAGATTGTCGGGCAGATGGGCAGCGATCCTGACAGACTGTGGATACAGTCTTCAGTGGGGGAGAGAGATGGGAGGAGATGGGTTGCGGGGAAAGGCGCCCAGGTTTGGGAGGATGAGAAGGGAGAGTGGTGGGCTGGGTGCCTGGCCCACGTCAGAAATGTAGAACCTGAGCATCCCAGCTTTGGCACCCACTGCCCGTGCAGAAGGTGCTTATGAATGTAATGGGGACAGCTGATATTACTGGCATATCTCATTTACAAAAAAAAAGTGCAACCTGCCCCTTGCCACCGAGTCACATGGAAGCCAGAACCTGGGAGGCATGCTTGATGGATGGGCAGAGCCCCCGAGCTCCTTGCACATACCACGAGAGGTTGGATCTTGCTAAATGGAAGTAGGACGTGGGGTGTCTGGAATGACATTTCTCATTCCCTTTGTGACTGCCACTCACGAGAGGGCAGCATAGATGGGCACAGATGCCCACTCCACAAGGCAGCCCCCCTACCGCCGGACCCACCTGTCTTGGGGCCCAGGGTGCCAGGATGGGGGAGGGGACAATGAACTTGACCAATGAGCTTTGCCCTGACTCTTCTCGGCCTGGCCCCGCCTCTCTCCCTTTAGGCTGCCTGCTGTCTTGGTTGCAAAAGAGACTCATCTATAAACTTGAACCAACCCAGGAAGTGTGGCAAGGATTGCTCTCTCCCTGGTACCCAGACCTAAGACCATCTCTGTGTCTCACATCCTAGCCGAGGGGCTTCAGACCTAGGGGGAGGTGCTGGCCTGGCTGGCCTCATGAGTGACCATGGGGCAGACGGCTGGGGGAGGGAAGCACCCACAGAGGCGGCTGGCAAAACAGAGGCGGATTGAAAGAAGCAGGGTGTATGCAACAGAAATAGAATCAACCCAGAAAGGGGGTGGGGAGATAAAGGAGCAGAGGTGGGAGGAAACCAGATCGGGCAAGGTGGTATCCTACTTCCAAAGCCAAGCCTCCGTCTCTGCCTGGCTCTCGGTTCTCTCTGCTCCCTGGAGCTTCCTGGCAGGGTCCCTGGGGAGCCCTTGTCTACAGGCTTTGTGCCCCTGCAGGGCCTCATCCACAGCTCCCAGCTGGGGCAACTTAGAGAGGAGAGATCGTGGCACCCCTGCCTAGAGTCCCTAACTCAGGGACAGGACTTGTGTGGCGGAAAGCCCTTGGATGGCCCTCAAATCCATGGCATGCAGACTTAAGGACTATGTCACAGCTGCCTGCCCAGCTGCTGGCTCCTGCCACAGCGCTACCTCCAAGCCTCAAGAGTGGAGGGCGTTCTCAACACTAATGACTCCGAGCAGCTTCTTCTTGGAGGGGTGAGGGGACCATCATCCCATGGTGCGCACTGAGACTCCAGATCCCGGAGCCCCCGGCCCTACTCAAGGACTCACTTGCTCATTTATTCTCACTGACTAGAGCCCATGGTCGCTGGCGGACTCGGTGTCAAGCCTCCATGCAGCATGCAGGGCCGGCATGCACAGCATGCTCACCCTTTCAAGGGATGGTGGCCTGACCAGGTGCCAGGAGCCAGCTGTCCCGGCTTCGGCATGCCTTCCAGGGCCATCTCTGTGCCCAGACAAGGGAATTAATCACTCAGCATCAAAGAAAACGGCAATTCCAAGGAGGGGCTGGGAGCCTACGTGTAGCACCCTTTCTAAGCCATCCTCCTTTGCAGTGGGGGCAATCATTAAATGAAGGGGGGCATGCTTGCCCCTCTCGGGTCCATGCACCATGCACACCTTTCTTGAAAGTCTGGCTTTCCCATCACTGAAAGGGTGAGTCTGAAGCATGCATTTGGCCTGAGCCTTTTTCTCCTGCTCCACCCAGGCTGGGCTGGGAGGCACCTGCTTAGCCCCATGCTATGCCCATTACCTCTGCTGCTGGTACAGTACCTGCGGTTGGAGTAGCTTCAGACACAGCACCCAAGATGGCCAGAGAGAGAGAGAGGGAGGGGAGAGGATGAGACAGGGAAGAGAAAACAGAGCATAGGTGAAACCACAGGACACGCAGGGGGAGGAAGCTGGGCTCACCTTGACTGTGTGGCTAAGCTCTGGCTGCCACCCTGAGCATGTTAACTGGTATTCGGGGGTCACAGTCAGCCCCCCTCCACCCAGAATTAGACAGGGTCCTACCTCCCACATGGGGTTTGGAGACCTGTAAACACATTCTCCTAATCCTATTCAAGCTTCCTCACCTAGGAGGTGGCAGTAAGGGCAATTTTTCCAGGATATTAGGTCCCTGGCACTTTTTTCAAGGGTATGTTCTGCTCTGGCTGCGTTGTGTGACCCTCTAAGATGCAGGAATTGAGGGTGGAAGGTGTGGGTGGGGCAGGAGAACACCTAGCCTGGTCAAAAGTATAGTGCCGGTGTCTTCACTGGAAAAACTCTAGTGTTGAGGAAGATAAGACGGCATCTGTGGGGTGTGTGTGTGTGTTCAGTGGTCTCCCCCGCGCCCCCCCCATCTACAGCTTGCAAATAGCAAACTCTGAAACCCTGAAGCCCCTGGTTTCTGCTGCTCCCGTCTTCCCTACTTGTACTTTATGAAATGAAGAACCCAAGTGCACACTGAGAACCCTGGGGTGTGGATCCATGAATTTCCCACAAACTCCAAAGTTAAGAAGAAAAAGTCTCTGTTCTCTTGTGCCCTGGGGCTGCAGAAGTCTCCGAGCAGTTGTCATTGGAGCTGGATAATGGGGCTTTGTCTGGCGTCTGGGTTGGGTGGGGAAGAGGCACCCTGTATTTCTATCTCCACACAGAGCTATTGAGACAGGGCTCGGCCTCTGGTAACAGGCTCCAGCAGTCACTTACCTAAAGTCCCCCAGCGCTAATAAACTTTCTGAGTGCTCAGGGGTTGGAATAGGACACCAGGAATGGGAGCTTGTTGTGTGGCTCACTTCTCACAAGAGCTGAGGGACACAGGCAGAATGGCCAGCCCTCTGCTTTTGCCTAGACCCTCTTGGGTCTACCTAGGGGCTGAGCAGAAAGAAATGCAGGAGTGCTGAAGAAGCTGCACAGGGAACCTGGGCTGGGGTCACAGTGGCAGCAGCCCCAGAGGGAGGAATGTTGCCCCTCTGGATAGAGAGGTGCTCAGGAGCCCTGCTTGGGAGCCCATAGCTTGGCGTCACCCTTCTGTGATGTCACATTGAAGGAGTCTCCTCCTCTGCCTGGCCTTCATTCCCTTTGCCCATGCTAAGCATACAACCACATATTCTGGTGGTTGTCCCTAGATCACATGAACTTCCTACTACTTTTGTGACTCTTGTTCCTGGCAATCTCTGTCTCAACACACTGAGGACTCCAGAAATGGCTGTGGCATAGATCACTATACATTTAGAGTGGCAGGAGGGTCCCTGTCTTTTCACAGGCATCTGTCAACATTGAGGTTTTCTTCAGACTTGAAGAATCCAGCCAGCACGTGCCGGCGAGCCTGAAGTGCCCTCTAGTGGAGACCTGAGGCAGGTGCAGCTCTGGTGGGGGACATGCCAGGTCCCTTGAGGTTGGCTTGGCAAAGGGCTGATGACAAGTTTCCCCTTTTCTCCACAGCCTGAAAACACCCAAGTCAGGCTGCCAGGAGGAACCACATTCTCTTCTCTACTCTTGATCTGGGCAATCAGACCCTTTCCCCTACCTCCTTTTAGCTTTGCCCCTCAGAAGACAAGAGTCCTCTTGTGCTCTCTCAGTTAACAGTCCTGCCTCCTTCAATAGCAAACAGTTTCTTTGGAGTTCATTAGCACATTTATTTCCAACTCATGCTTTCTTCCTTATTTCTCTACTGGAAGAAAAGATGGTTGGTGTTAAATTGCTGAGCAAATTAAGGTCTGACTGTATCTAAGGACATCTGAGTTTTCCAGCAGCCATTTGTCTCTTACCAGGGACTTGAGGCCCAGCCCTCGGTATGTTTCTCTAGGTATCTGAATTGGGTGGGGTCTTTCACCCCACTGTCACGGACCTACCTTCATTTGGAGGAGCTGGAGACTCCTCTGTGACGGCTTCCCCAGAGCCCACCTGTGTCCTGGCGCTGAGGGTAAAGCGGTAGCGGGACACAGGGTCTGCCCTCTGCATCGAGAACTTGGTCTGATTGGGAGAAAAGTTCTCCACCATCTGCTTTCCCACTTTGGTTCCGTTAACTGCAGGGAGAAAGGCAGTGAGTGGGAGTTTCAGAGTCCTGTGATGGATTACAAGGCTGGCAGCTGGAAGGACCCCTCTCTCCCGATCTCTATAAAGGAAACCAGTGGCCCCTGGCTGGTGCTGTCCAAGGGATGGGTTAAAGGCAGAACACTGGGCAAAAATCCCTTCCTGCTCTTGGATTATATCCCTAGGTCAGTTCTTTACCCCACCCAGTATCTCTAGCTTACTGCATATAGCTGATTTTGATAGATTTAGTTTAAGATTCCTGAACACTTCAGCAGGGATGATGCTCTTGAGTTCTTCTCTGATGATAACTGCCTCCTTTGTGAGACACTGGTCCAGAGCCTTTCTAGAAGAGTGTATATGCTAGTGACATCATTAACAAGATCTGGAGCCCTGAGTTTCCCAATGAGGTACAGCATGGCCCACACTGGAAGGCTTAAAGATTTTCAGGTGTAATGGTTCCAGTCCCTGAGTGGCGATGCTCTCTGGATACATGCCCCTGATCTGAGTCACTCTACATTTCTTGGCTGCTCCAGGCACAGCCATTTTATATCGAATGTCACCTTCTTAAGGTGTCTGTGGATGCCTGAGAATGCAGTGTCTGCTCCTCAGATGGAAATGCCATTGGATGAGGACATGTAGATGCCGGAGTTATGACATCCCCTAGAGTCATTAAACCAGAATTCTCTTTTGTCCCAGCTGTCACCCAAGACGGGGCTCTATAGGGAGCGCAGCGATTTTCCTCGCCTGCCTTCTGTCACCCTCTGAGAGACCTTTTTTGCCCTCTCCATTCTTCCACAAAGCCCTCTGCACCCTCAGACTTTCTCTCAATTCTTTAGAGGGTGAGGAATGTCTTTTCTGCCTTGGGCTATTTGGATATTGGAAGCATTCATTGGCCATACAAAAATTATTCATACAGGCAGATGGGGCTCAGGCAGCTGATGAAACACATGTGTCTGTCTTGTCACGTACCAAATGACTTCTCCATTTTATAAGCCCAGGGGACCAGACGTTCCCAACCCTCACAGGAAAAGCGGGGACCATCAGAATGGGATCTGATTCCCCTCTCCCCCCACCAGATTACTCAGTGAGTGTGAAGGCAGGACGTACAGGCCACGTATTTGAGGATGTAGCCTGTCAGGATCCCATTGGGGTGCTCCGGGTGGTCCCACTCCAGGTTGATTGTCTCCAGGTTGGGCTGCCGGACTCGGAAACGCCTGGGGGCACTGGGTACTTGGGGAAGGAGGAGAGAGCAGGGGAGGAGGGAGGCAGGGAGGATGAGGAGAACACAAGAAACAATGCACAAGCATGAAGACATTGGTCTTGGGCAACCCCCATGCCAGACAGCTGCTCAACCAGAAACATGAGGGCAGTGGGCACAGCCCAAACTCTGCCCTGTACTTGGCACACGTTAGGACTACAATCTTACAGATAACCCTGCAAACCAGGCAGAGCCATTTCCAGAGCCAGTCCTGGGAAGAGAACCAATCATGAGTTGGTTATAGCCCAATTCCCAGATAAGGTCTTGCCACTGGGTCCCGGAACAGGCCCAGGCTTCTGAGCCAAGGACACTTTCAGGGGTGAAAGTCAAGGAAAACCAGCTAAGGGGAAACAAAGATGGGCATAAAGAAAACATAAGAGGGTGACACTTTGCAAAAAGAAATGTACTCTTTACCTGACAAGTTTAACTATAGCCCCTCTGCACATTACCTTTATAATATCATGTTTTCAATTAAAACATTAAGGGAAGAAAGAAAGAAAATAAGAGAAAAACAAAGGAGAGAAGAATGAGGAAATAGGAGTTAAGGAGAAAGAAAGAGAAACAGAAGGCAAGGCCAATGTGAAGTGGATAAAAGGACGCCTGGAGAACATGGAGCAGGTTCTTCACAGATGTCTGGATTCAGCATTGAGAAAGCCACGGTGTGCAGGAGGGAGAGGGGGCACCTGCAACGCCTCTGCAGATGCCACGTGCACAGGGTGCCCCTTCACCAGTGCGTCCTGAGGCTGCGGAGAGGCTGATGAAGGCCATGGGCCAACAAGTCTTCCAGGCAGCTTGATTCATAGGCTGCCCTTGGTCTCTCATACAAACCTCCCATCTGGGCAGGTTGCCTTGGCGATGGCTGCTTGGTGGGACGGTGGAGCTGTTCTGCCTGCAGGCTGTCTGCAGAAGTCTGTCAACTTCTTTTGTTGTTGTTGTTGTTGGTTGTGGGGCTTGAACTCTGGGCCTGGGTGCTGTCCCTCAGCTCTGCAGCTCAAGGCAAGCGCTCTACCACTTGAGCCATTGCGCCACTGCTTTTCTGGTGGTTTACTGGAGATAAGCATCTCATAGACTTTCCTGCCTGGGCTGGCTTTGAATGGCGATCCTCAGATCTCAGCCTCCTGAGTAGCTAGGATTATAGGTGTGAGCCACCGGTGCCTGGCTCTTGCGTCAATGTCTTGAGGCCATGCAGATGTCAGCTTGTGCCATCCATGCTGAGCATCGCTGGAGCCGCTCCAGGCCTTCTGGTGCATTGCTACCCTCATCCCGTCCACCCCAAAGAGCTGCAGGTCAGACCTACCTCCTTCCGGAGTGGTGAACTCCTTGGTTTCGCTGCGAGGCCCATCACCTCTCCCATTGACCACAACCATCTCCAGCTTGTAGTTACTATAGGGAAAGAGGCGGGACACCACGCCTCGGTTGCGGTCACTGGAGAAGCTGGCTTGCTGTCTCTTCTGAGATACCCACAGGTTCTTCAGCAAGCTGCTTTCTCTCCAGTAGTAGGCCTTCGGGACAGAGGCAGGCAGGTGAGTGCGGGACGGCAGGCAGGGTTAGTGGTTAGTGGTGGAAGTAGTAATGGGTCTTCCTTTGCTTGCAGGCTCTAAGTCTCAGATGACCTCCTCAGTCCCACCTGGGGCTGGAGAAGCAAGGAAGCAACGCTTCCATCCAAGAGCCACTAGTGCATAGGAATTTATGTGGAACAAGGAGTTGGCTGTTGTTTCACTGGCTTTCTGAGCCACGTCTCCTCTTTGGAAATGGGTGATTGGCCACATTTCCATCTGAGCTGGCCCACCGTGAGACCGAGGTCCAAGCTGGGGAACAGGACTCGGGGAGTCTGTGCCAGATCCCCAAATAGGAGCCAGGGGTTCCTGCAGGGAGAGCTGCGCTCTGTGCTCCGAGACCATATCACCTTGAGCTGGATTAGTATGGTTTAAAGGAGGTGGGCAGGTGTTGACAAGCAGCAGGTTACAAGTCTCAATGTGAGAAAGGGTCGATCGAATCCTCTGAAGTCAATTGGTTTCTTTTCATATTACTGGAGACTTGTAGAGAGGAGCAGGCACATGGGGAAGGCTGTCCAGGTCAGTGGGGTGGGGGCAGAGCTGTGTGGAGGCAGGGCTGGGGTGGAACAGGAGGGCCATGGAGTGTAGTCATGTCACAGGGTGCAGCGAGGGTTGGATTAGTGGTGGGTAAGAAGCTCCAGGTCAGCCCATGGCAGCAGTGCCACCAGGCTGTCCATAGGAAAAGAGTCCAGGCTTAAGGGGCGCTTTTAGCCAGAAAAATCTCCAGGCGTGTAGACTAAGGGCACAAGTGAACAGCCAGGGAGGAGCCCATGGGAGGAGTGTGCTCGGCACCCAGCTCTTCCCTACTTGCCAACAAGAGGCTGACCCCGCTCTCTGTCCCCAAATGTCCATCAGCCAAATTTATTTGTTAATAGAGACAGGGGCTTATTCTGTAGCCCAGGCTGGCTTCAAAATCACTATGTAGTCCATACTGGCCTTAAACTCAATATCCTCCTGCCTCAGCCTCTGTTGGGAGGGCTGGATTATAGGTGTGGACCACTAGGCGACTTTATGAGCCAACTCTTGGTGCCCTCTGAGGTCACAGAAGCAGCGGGAACCTCCCGTTACAGCTGCTCTCACCTCCCAGCTGACGTTGTAATGGGGCTGACTTGAGGGAGAGTCTCGTGAACTCAAGGCTTTCTCTCCCTTCTCCATCTCTACTCAGCCTCTGAGGACAGATGCCTGGGCAGAAACTGCTCCTATCAGATAGTACTAGAAGCCCAGGCCCTGGCAATCCGCGTGCCGAGGAGTTGGCTGTGATGACAGGGAGGGTGCTTGCACCCATTTGGTGGCTTGGCTTGGTAGTGTGGCTCTCCAAAACCAGGCAGGGAGGGGGCAGGCGGTGTCCAAGAGCCACTTGGGAAACAGGCATAGTGCCTTAACACCGCACAGGAAGATCCATGGATGTCCACCCTCACACGTAGGACACACACATGTGCGTGCGAGATCAACTCAACCCACCACACAGGCTGAGCCCTTCTACACATCTGCAAGGCTCATCTGGGCTGGGGATGTGCTCTTGCAGGGCCACATTGAGGACAGGAGCCTAGGACCTAGTGATGTCATGGCTGCCTCCCCACCCTACAGACAGGCTTGTGGTAAACACACCCCTACAGCATGGCCAGCCGTGTAAATGTACAGAAGTGCAATCATGCACCTGCATAACACCTGGCGATAAGAAACAGCATTTCTGGTTCATGTGTTCACTATGCTGTCCTCACTGTCATTATGTTGTACTTTTTAGACATTGTACAATGCCATGGTGTACTGCTCAATGGCCTCACACAACCTGTGCTTTCTGCTTGTTTCTCTTTTTTTCCTTCTTTTGGTGATGCTGGACTTCAACTCAGGGCCTTGCCTTCCACTTGAGCCAGGACTCCTGCCCCTGGCCAGTGGTTGGACCATAATCCTACTCCTTCTGCCTCCCAAGTAGCTGGGATTAGAGGTGTGTGCCACCATACCCAGCCCCTTCCACATCTCTTGATTACACAAGGAGGCCATGCCAAGTGATTCTGTGCACTAAGTCTGTGTGAGGACGCTATGATGTTCAAACAATGGTAAAATTGCCTGGCGACTCATTTCTTAGGCCACACACCCCTGGTTAAAGGAGCTATGGCTGTATATACACATACATATTTGGGGTGTGTTTTTGAACAGTTCATCTTAGATATCATCTTGAATCAACTTTGGATCCAACGAATGTTCCTATGACCCCTTCCAAGCCCCCTATACTGGCATCTGCTGCCCCTGGGCCCCGGTTAGCAAGCTGGGTAGTTAGGGGTGGGAGGCGGCTTCCTCACTCGGTACTCTCTGAGTTGGCCCTGGACCGTGTCGGAGTAGACCCGGTTCCACTGAAGGCTGATGGCTGTGCTGTTCATGACTCGGATTTTAACTTCGGTGGGCGCAGCCCTGGGATCTGTAATACGTTGGGACAGAGAGCAGGTTATACAGGCAAGGCTGGCCCTTACACTTGAAGGTCCCCTCTGACTTGTCCTCTGTCAGCCTGTACGCTCCCTTCATGGATACCAGGTACCCAAGGAGGGCAGGGACTGTGTCTCCTCTACAAAACCATCCTTGGAGGAGTAGGGGATGAGAAGATGGCAGTTCAGGTGAGAGGGGCTCTGCCCGCACATCTAGGGGGCTCATCAGCTCTCATCTCTACTTCCCTGTGGCCCACAAGCCTGTTCTGTCTGTCAAGTATCCTTGTTCTCAAGCCTTCAGTGGTTGGTGCCAATAGGGAACACCAACATGAGCACCCAGGGAGGGGGCAAGGAAGGGTGCTAACTTCATCTGCTGGGCTACAGGCTGATGGCATTCACTCTTGTGCCCAAGGCCAAGGCCCCGAGGCAAGTCTGCAAAGGGCTCAGCTGTGCCCTGCACCTCAAGGCTCAGAGAGGCCCCCTGGTGTTGCTAGCCCTTGAGGAGGCTCAGGTACCTTGCTGTCTGTCCTCTAACACAGTCTGCACATTATGGGCAGTTCCTTTTGAATGCACATGCTTTCTGCCAGTGGGAAGCACTGCCCACAGATGGGAAATGCCTAACTTCATCTAGAAAGGGAGTCCCTGTGCTCCCCGGGAAGGGAAGGGCAACCCTGCCCTCTGGATGACCCTTGTCCTCTCCTTACATCTCTACTGTGCTGCAGAAGCCAAGCTGCCCATTCCCGCCAATACAGCAGAGCACAGGGAACCAGATATAGTAGGAATTGTGGGTGGGGTCCAGGACGTCCCAGCCAGAGGCTCTGTCCTGACCTTCCTCCATCCGGCGAGGTCCCACTCACAACCACCTCCAGGGCCCAACACTCACTTCTTCCCACCTCACTGTTAAGGGACCACAGCCTTGTTTTGCATCCAACACCTCCCCTGAGCCTACTCCTCCTCAAGGCTCTCTCTCCTCCCTCCCTTCTGCTCACCCCATCCACTCACCATCCGGTCTTGGATCAACACGGACACAAAAGGGCACCTGGGGGGTGGGGAGGACCTCCACTGATCCTCTGTGCTGCTCAAGAGCCTGTGGGGCTGATGTGCCGGGCACAGAGGTCGCCACCCTCTGGGCCGCCAGGCACACACTTCTGCAGCTATGTTGGAAATCTTGACTTGCCCAGTGCCAGCCTCCAAAGAACTTTTCTTTCTATGCTCAAGGAGGTGGAAAGCAGTCCTGGGAGTGGCTGGCCTGGCCTGGAACACTCTGGTCTCTTAATCACCTCTTTCCTTGCTTGCGGAGGAGCCTAGCCTGGGCCTCGCTTCTTGGACCATCTGACTATTGATCTTTGGCATGGTGGTCCTGAAGTCTTTCTTGGTGCTGGTATGGTTTGGCATGAAAGCAATCTGGATGGGGTTCCAGAGACCTGGCCTTTGTTTCAAGCTTTACAATCCTGCAAGAGCTGTCTCTATAGGGCCTTGGATTTTGCATCTGTGAAGTGGGTATACTGAGTCAAGCGGTGACGTGTGGTGCTCCTAACTGGTTCAAGTGATAGCATTTCCAGGTGTGCTACCAAGTGCGGTGTGCTCTAGTTTACTCTACAAGGTAGCTGGCCTTCCTAGGAGCCAGTGGCACCCCCCCCCCTCAATCCCACCACCACCACAGACCACCTCCAAGTTTCTGGCCTGTGACAGTAGTCTGGTGGTGAAGGTGCTGCTGGGGAGGGGAGAGTGGACAGGTACTCACAATCTTCTCCCGAGTACCCGATGACAGTGTCAGGCTCCGGGCCCTTCCCAAAGTCGTTTTCCGCCTGGACCCGGATCTCATAGGGCACGTAGACAGGTGTCTGCCCCACCACGTAGCGGGAGCCCCACACAGTGACATTGTTCCACGTGTCTCGAGTCTCCCTCCGCCGCCACTTGACGATGTAGCGTAGGTTGGGGCCAAAGGCGGAGGTGGCATTCATGGGCTGGGTAGGCAGAGACACACAGATAGGCAGACAGGCAGGGTGGAGAGGGTATAGATGAGGCGCCACCATAGCCCACCCTGTGCCAAGCACCCTGCCTGGGTTTCCTAATACTGGCCTTGCAGCATAGGAAGAGTCCATCCCCTCCATCATGTATCCAAGAGCCCTGAGTCTGGGCAACTCTGCAGTATGTGGATTTCCCGACAGAAGCTTAACCTGAGACGCAGTCACCTGACTCTGAGAGCCAGTACATGTTTCTCAGTGCTCAGGAAATGGCAGGCAACTGTCAACAGAGCCCTTTGCTAGAGGAGCATGGGGGAAACAAGACAGACAATTCTGTCTTCTCCAGAGTCCAAAAGGGCTGGCGGTTAGGTCTAACCACAGCTTGCCTCCTACTGATGAACTCAAGCTTTCGGAACTGACTTCCGTTTCCCCAAATCTTGTTCTTTCCAACAGATCAGAGCTCTAGGTGGCATGTGTCTCTTTATTCTCTAAGGACCTGGTCAGGAATCGGGTACCTGGAGCCTGCAGGGCAGAGTGGCTGCCTGTGGCTCTGTTTGGCGGGCTAGTGGAGACCATCCTTGGAGCAATAGGGATAACCACACGGTGCAAATCATCGTGTCCTCTGCATTCACTCTTTATGGTGGCAGCTCAGAAATGCTGAGTTCAGTAACCATTTCTGCATGCCTTAGACTTAGAAGGAGCTGGGGACCACATATGCCAGTTGGGATTAGGAAAATATGGCCAGTGAACCAAACCTGACCTGGGAGGAGCTTATAATCTTTAACTAAAGGAAGGGCCTCCGTTGAACACACCCCAGATGCTCCTGGGATGAGTTCCCCAGCACACACCAAAGCTTGTGCTAGAGTTCCATCTAGATCATTCCTGGAGTTTAACCGGAGTCACTTCTTCAAAGGAAGTCCTTTTTATTTTGTCAGCATTCTTTCTGATTTTGCTAAGCTGGGGTCACTATTTTTTCCTGTCTCCGCTCTGAAACCCTGCTCCTGATTGGTTCAAGGATGTTCAACACACAGATGACCTTCATTCTAAGAAAAATGACCACCAAAATCAGCTTGATGGTCAGAAGCACACAGTGCAGGGGAAGAGAGAGAGGCTCCCTGGTGTCCGCTGCCAGGCGAGCAGGCCCATTAATGGCTGACTCCTACCGTCCACGTGATCTCCATGTTGTTCTTTCTGGTACCTTCTCCCTTCACATCACCAGGATTGGACTCAGGGGCTGGAATCCAAACACACACAAAGCTCAAGTCCAGGACCTGGTAAGCAACCCTTCCTCCCACCTAATTGGGCCCTTCTATGCTCTGGCTTTTCTCAGCTTCTGTATATACCAGAATCTCCTGTGTGTGTGATATGCCTCTCTAATGAAAAGAAAATCCCCCCAATGCAGAGCTAATTTCTTTTAAATTTTAATCCCTTGCCAGACAGCATTTATCACAAGGCCTTCCACACTATACGTGGCCAATAAGCCAATCAAGGCAGATTTTCTCCTTCAGGGATCATCCACTAAATATGTTTCATACCATGTAGGGTTTATCTCTGGCATTTAAGGTTTTGGGGGAGTATTTCCATCCTCTATGAGCTGGTATAATTATTTAAATACTACCCAAGTAAGTTAAGAAAAGGAACCTGAAATAATATCAGATTATATAATTCTGCTGTACATCTTAACCATAGCTCTCCCCCTTTAAAGAGGTAACTAAGCAACCATTAATAATAAAAATGAAGTTAATGCTGGGCGCTGGTCTCTCACACCTATAATCCTAGCTACTCAGGAGGCTGAGATCTGAGGATCGTGGTTCAAAGCCATCCTGGGCAGGAAAGTCCATGAGACTCTGATGTCCAATTAACCACCAAAAAATCAGAGTGGAGCTGTGCCTCAAAGTGGTAGAGCAAAAAGAGCTTGGGGTCAGCACCCAGGCCCTGAGTTCAAGCACCATACCTGACAGTATCTGCTGTGTGCTTACAACCTACCAGCTGTCATGCAAGCACCTGACAGAGGCCTCCTAACATCCCTGAGATACGGGTGTTGTTGCTATTTCATAGATGAGGAAACCAAGCTTTGGAGAAGTGAGCTAACTGTTTGTGGCTAGGAATTGGGTGAGCTCATTTGAACTCGGGCTCCTGGTTCCAGGCTTTTGTAGGTGAGCTCAAGGACTCACGTGCTCCACTGGTGCGGTAGCGCTCAGATGGGAGGCTGGGGTGACTGCTTCCCACCTCGTTGACAGCAATGACCCGGAACTGATAGTTGACGTATGGGGATAGCTGGAGGACGGCTGAGTTCACACTGCCTGGGAACTTGGAATGGTCATGCCAGACACCCGGCTGGAACTGGTCCTCTTCAAATTGGACGACGTAGTCTGCAAGGGCAAGGGCAGAGCTGAACCTGGGATAGCAACCTTCTTGGCTTCAGTTCATCCTTCCATTCTCCCTGGGGAGAGTGGCACACGGAACACTCTTCCCAGCACACAGAAGGGAGCCAAGGCTTCTGTGCACACATCAAGTAGGGCCGATGGGGAGCAGATGCCAGGAAAGGCCCTGGATCCCACACCATCACCAGCCGTGTCTTCTGGCTTTGACGCCCAGGGCCGTGAGCTGACCTGTGATGGGGCTGTTGTTATCATCCCCTGGGATCCAGGTCAGCCTCACACTCCTCTCAGCCAAGTCGGTGAGCTCCAGGTCCCGGGGTCGGTCTGGCCGTCCTGACAACAGAGGGAGAAGGTGCCACACAGGACTTGTGAGTTAGAGCCAGTCTCTCCTTGTGGTGGCCACAGCCCCAAGCAGGTCTCCATGACCAGGAGAGCCCAATTCCAGGCTAGCACAGATCCTCCCGCCGCCAGGGCCAAGAAAGAACAAAGAAGAGATCCCAAATTCTGTCCTACCTCTAAGAATATCAAAGAATGTGGGGCCAGGAAATAAAGAGGATTGCATTGGACATGCAGAAAACCGGACCCCACCCATCCTGTTTCTGCAGGACGCACATCTGGAAAAGGCTGTTTTTTTCTACAAGACCATCACTCACATTTAGACAAGCTGAGAGTGTGTAGGACTTTATCTCACTGCCTCATGACACTTATTCTCTGCTGTGTCTGGAACTCAGAGGGGACCAGAGCCCAGGAGGGGAGTGCAGTGTTGAGAGGACACTAGGGTCAGGAAAATGGGGTGGACACAAAGAATCCCAGGCCAGGGAGGTGAAGGATACTTAGTATATGAGTTTCAGAGATGGCTGAGGGGCCGGCAGGCCTCCACTCAGGAGTGAGGGCAGCACACTGATCAGATCAGGGGCTCTGATCTCTCTGAGGTTATTTTCCTAAGTGCCATCCTGGCCTGGGGAGAGAGCTATCAGCACCTACTAGTGTTGGGAGCGGGGGTGGGACAACATTTTGTTCCCGTCTTGGCTCCCTGAACCAGCTATTTCCATATCTTGGCTGGTTACTGGAAGGGCTTAGAGTCTGAGTCATGACAGCCTTCATTTGCACACACACGTACATGCACACAGATTGTAATGGATATCCAGTAGCAGATACAGGCGTTTTGCGAAGTGATGGGCCTGCAGATGGTCTGAGGGGAGCAGGCTTTTGTGATACTTTTGAGGCCGAGGTGGGGGAGACCAGGTCACCCTAAGGGAAACTGAATGTGGTAGAGGTAAGAGAAGGGTGAAACTTGGAAGCCAAAGACTTCTAGGTTTAGCTTGTGGGAACATCCCAGAGCAGGACTGTGGTACCGCTCAGAGGACAAGTGGATGAGGGCACCGAGGGGTCACGTGTGGCGGGGCAGATGGGGGACTGCCAGGAGCCCGCAGAATGCAGGTCTTTCCTAAAGCATCTGCTTCTGTGAGAGTCCAACCCTGAGTGCCCAGAGAGGGCACTGGCCAGGGCCCCTTATTAGTAGGAATTACCTTTGGGCAGAGCAGCCAGACGGTTAGTTGGAGTGGCCTGATCAGCTGCAAAGGTAAGACGGGTTATCCAGATTAGCAGGTTAGAGGTGTTAAAGGTCTTCTGGAAGCATGGGAATCGGTGGCTGGAGTGCTCCAGGCATGGCTGCACCCTCCCTTCTAGGCCAGCCTCCCACCTTCCCAGAGGCCATCTGTGATCCCTCCACAGCCATGGCCGGAGCCTATTTCCCTCCTCCAATCCCAGTAATACTAAAGTGTCTGTGTCTATCACAACTAGCAAGTGTACCCTGAGGGGCAAAAATATGCCAACACTTATGCAGAGGACAGGGGTGATGTGGGACAGCAAGGGGTCTGCTTTCTGGAGGGAGAGACACCTTTCCCTCAGATCTGGATGGCTTAGCATTTACTGCCCAGCCTGGACAGAGGACAAGAAGGGACACCACCACCTTGCTCCTGTACAGAACACCGAAATGCTATCCAAACCAGGCGCAGCATGGAAAGGTAAGCACAAATACAAACCAGGGGCCCAGCTTTACGGCTAGGTTGTTTTAGTTGACAGTGATATATGGAGTTGGCTAGAAGGGAGGTCAAGAGGGCCAAGCCCAGAAGCCCCCCTCCACTTTCTCCCTTCCCTTTCAGTTCAGCTGGGATTTGGTGGGGGAATCAGTGGTCCCCAGTTAGGAAACTGTAAACTGTCCTTGTTCCAAGAGTGGCAGCTCCTAACCCTGAGATCTAGAGGTGGAGACCCCTGCACCCATAAGTACTGACTGCTAGCATCGCCCTAGGAACTACCCAGGGCCCATGACCACTCTGACTGCTAGGGAGTGGGGACAAGAAGGGTGCTGGTGCCAGTCTGGGTGAAGGCAGTTACCTAGCACAGTCAGGTGGGCCTTGGCCAGGTCTTGGTCTAGCTCAGTGCTAGCAACACATGTGTAACTTCCCTGGTCCCGCTCTGCCACGCCAAAGATGGTCAGGGAGTCATCTTCCTTCTTCATCCTGCAAGGCAGAGCATGGGTTGACAGGAGGGCAGGGTGGGGCACTGCTTTCTCCCCTTGGTGGGTAGATGAGAAGGCAGAGAGAAGCAGTAGGGTCAGGGTGCAGGGTCTACAGGATGGAGAAGCCAGATAAGGGGTAAGGCCTCTCCATGGTTACCAGGAACACTTGCTGAACCTAATTCAGAGGAAGGCCAAGTGAGCAGAGCTCAAGTGGCACTCAAACTTTACCCTGTACCCATCCCTTGGACTTTCTGGTGCTGTGCATTTCTCCCAATTTAGGGCACTGTTAAGACTCCTGACGAGTATTGTCCTCTTTCCTACATTGCCTTGTCTATCCTTAGCCCACACGTGTCTCTCCCTGTGCCCTTGCGAGATCAGCTCCTGGGATCCTCTGAACTGTCTCCCCCAGAGGGAGAAGACGTCCTACAGCAGTCCAGGACTGTAAAGCTGTCAGCACTAATGAGGGTGCAGCCGGCAGAAAGCCAGGAAACATCACAGGAAATGGCTAGCACCACCCCAGCACCACCTGCACTCTAGACAGTAGATGAGGGAGGCTGGGGTCAGCAGTTCTCAACTCTGGCTGCACATTAGGAAACCCAGGGGACTCGCAAACACCAGCAGCACCTGAGTCCTATCCCTACCCCAGTGACCTCAGAACTGGGGGGATAGAGGCATGGGGGGGGCTCTAGTGAAAGCATCCAGGAGCATCGAGGGTGGGGAACCAGTAGGCTCTGCAGTGGGTGTGGTGGCTAGGCAACCCCGCCCTCTACTGGAGAACAGAAGCATTACCAGCAAGGTTGCAAGGATGGCGGCCTGGGAGGCAGTAGAAGAGGAAGGTAAAGAGCAGGGAGGGGACAAAAGAAAAGCAAGAAGGAGTAGGAAAGAAGGAAAAGGGGGAGAGAAAGGAGGTGAAGAATAGAGCAGCCAGGAGAAGAAGAGGATGGAGATTAGCCTCTGGGAACAGGGAGTTTGTTAAGGCCATCGCTCCTCCTCAGTAGCTCTGTGGTTAACATGCAGGGCACTAAGCACAAGAGTAAACACCCTTCAAACCAGCACCTGGAGTATGAAGAGAGAACAGAGACCTGTTTCCAATATAGAGAGGCTCATCGTCCTTCAGCCAGGAGACCGTGAGCTTCAGGGAGGGGTCATGTTTCACCCGGCATTCCAGCTGCACCGTGGTCCCCCTTTTGGCAACCTGGTCCTCAGGCATCCGGAAGATCCTCGTGGGGTCTGTGGAAAGTACAGAAGAGCTCATTATTTGTTCTCTGCCCACCATCCTCTCATGGCAACACAGCGTGACATTCCTGAGGCCTTGGGCCAGCCAAGAAAAGCAGCAGACATAGGATGCAGGTGTAAGAATAGAGGGATGATCCCCTGTGGGCAAATTACTCGCCTCCTCCAAACTCTCTCCTTATTGCTTGGGAGTACACAGCGTGGCTCTGATTTGGTGTTGGGGAGCTGGTGGACAGAAGGTTCCCATCCTTACACTCTTTGGACCAGGCTGGTTAAGATGCTGCCTTGGTGTTCCCTGGCCTGGTTCAGCTGGTAGCCCAGGGGGATATGCATCCAACATCAGGTGTGTGTGTGGGGGCATGGATGGGGGTCCTCTTGACTGAGATAATTGTGAGCATGGCTCCCTTACCTTTGACCTCCAGGCGGACCTGGTTTTCAGCTTTGCCCAGGATGTTGGTGGCGACACAGGTATAGATGCCCTGGTCCTCTTTGCGGATCATCTTAATTTCCAGACTGCCATTCTCATAGACGTGGTAGTTGCCACCATCCAGGTTGCTTCCTTGCCCATTCTTAAACCTCACAACAGAGCAGCAGAACACAGCAGACTGAGAAAGGACCACCCAAAGGAGAGGGCAGTAACCCACCAAGATGAGACACACACTGGGGGAGAAGAGCATTGGAAGGAGCCCCAGGCTAGGCCTCCCACCACTAGGGGGCCCTAAAAACTCTCAGACCTTCTCTAAGTCTGGATTTTCTCATTTGTAAAATAAAAGGGTTCCATCAAAAGATCAGACTGGAAACGTTACACCAACGTGTTGCTAGATGACTCTTATGGACCATGTGGGAACCAGAAAGCTGAGACAGACGACCCCTGATGACGGGGACCTGGTCTCCTGGGACTTACCATCGGAGTGTGGGGATGGGGGATCCGAAGAATGGGCAGTCCAGACGAGTCCGGTTATAAAGAATCACCCTAATGAGCTGGTTCCGGGGTGACAGCATCCGAGGTGGCACATCTGAAATTCCCAGAGACCTGACTTCAGGCGTGGAGTCCGATTCTTCCCTCTTTTCCTGACAGCTGCTTTCCAAGCACTGGATACCTCCCATGTACCTGCCTTCCTTCTGCAAGGCTTTCCCCCCAAACGATTCAACAAGTTCTGAGACTGCCCGCCCAGCTCATAGGCATCTGGTAGCCCACACCTTCTCCCTTGTACTCAGAACTATCTCCTGTCCAAGACCCAAGGAACACCTGCAGAGTCAAGCTGGACATACTCAAGAGAGGATATCTGAGGGGAGGAGGGACTGAGACTTAGAAGTCTCTTCTGGAATTAACTCTGCTCCTCTGGCTCTGTGCAGCTCTAGATCTCCACCCTTCCCACAAACCTTCAGTCTCTACATTCCATCTCCCTCTCCTGCCACTCTCTTACCCTGCCTGGTGTAGCTGAATGCCAGAAGAGAAAGAGCACACCCCTGGGAGGCTTGCCGTGGATGAGCAGAGGGGACATGGTGAGGGTGCACTCACCCAGCACACTGACGAAGGCGTTGGCCAGCAGGTAGCCGTGCTCATTGGAGGTGTTGCACTGGTACACGGCCCTGCTGCTGATCTGTGTATCCCGGAAGATGATGGTGTCGCCGGCCACCTCGCGGTTTGGGTTGGGTGGTGCCGCTATGTATAAGAAAGAAGGAGATGCTCCTCATGAGAACTGGGCAGAGTGATGGGTGCTGGCTGGACTCTGAAATATGCCCTGGGTGCTGGGTGAGGACCAGAGGCCTGGCTTCTGGACCCAGCAGTTCTGAGTCACGTGACCTTGGTCTTCCTGGGGGAAGTCTGAGTCCCTGCTCAACCCAAATAACAAGTGGGCAGCTGAGCTTGAGGACACCAGCTCTGGAAACAAGAATCTAACCTCACTTGTTTCCTGAGCTACATAGGACAGAATAACCTCCCTCTCATGGAGGTTTGGTGAAGGTAACCTGAGTCTTTGTCCATGTGACTGGCAGAAGGCCCTGCAGTACTGACTGTTATCAGCATCATTACAGACGTGACCCTGAGCGTGCCTTGAGGATAATGCAATACACCATGGCCAGAGCAGAGCCTTCTCCACACATGCAGCATTCACCCCGCAAGCCAACGCCAGCTGCCGCCTCGTCCTGCTCCCCAAATCCCCAGGTATCGCCTCACACAGAGAGGTCATTTCCACTCACAGCTCTCCAGAACTGCTGGATTTGGGGTACAGAGAGCAGAGGATGGGGTATATCTGGGGAGTCTTGGTTCCGTCCTCACATCCGTTGGCCACCCAGGGCAAATCAGTTATCTTTCTGGACCTGACTTCTTTCATCTGTAACATCACTCCCACCTCTCCCTCACTTGGAGGGATAATATGAGAATGATAATGAGCTATAAAATATAGAAATTGTTTTTTTTTCTTTAGAAGCATAAAGAATGCCCACTTTCCTCATCTTTACCCACTGGGGATTTCTGGGCTAAAGCATACATTGTGACTGGCAGAGAAGTCATGAGCTCAGTCAGGATCCTCAGGCCTCCAAGAAGAGTGGGTGAAGGGGAAAGCAGGAGTCTGGTCCTGAGGGCACCAGACCACTGACCATGAGTCAGAGCCCAGACCTGGGTGGTCAGCAGCAGGTAAATGAAAACGCAGTCAGAATTCTTATCATGCCCACTCAGCAAAAATGCACAGAGGGAGGCAGTGCCAGCAACTTGAACACCTCCTTCCGGAAAGGTTTCAAAAGTTAACTTTTCTGCCAGTCGCTTCCTCTCGATGCTCCCTGGAGATGGTAAAAGGTGACCTTCCTAGGGCCAGAGCTTTGCTGCCAGCCCCAGGCTGCATCTAGAACAGGGCTGGAAGCGCCATTGACCCCCAGAATCAGAAGAACAGACAATGGCAATAGGCAGGCTGGGTCCACCTCTCTGGAATGGCATAGTAGTAAGAGTCACTGTGTAACCAGAGGCTCCGTACTGGCAGATACTGGCAGGTGCAGGCGGCTGCTGTCTCGGCAACTTTAGCTTCCCTGCTTCATAGAAACCAGGGTGTGGGGGGGAAGTATTTCGAACAATACTATCCATTGGAGCTTGTGTCCTCTCCTGCTGTGTTTGAGATGGAAGAGCTGACAAGGTACAGTGCCCAATACAGTTCCCGACCCACAATGAACATCTAAGAAGGTGCATGTGTACCTTCCCCCCCCTCCCCCGCCCCCCCACCATCTGTCTTCTCATCCCTCTACTTGCTTCTATAAGATGCTGACTTGAAGCTGTCATTGGACTTCTCCATCACCATTTCCCCCTCATTTGGTTGATATTACTGTTTATATATTTCCTCTAGTTCCTCAGAGAAAGTAATGATTGGATGCGCATGTGCACACATGTTGGTACTGGGGTTTAAATTCAGGGCCTCATCCTCTTGGTTGGCTTTTTCGTTCAAGGCTGGTGCTCTTATCATTGAGCCATACCTCCACTTGCAGTTTTTGACTGGCTAATTAGAGATAATTATCTCACAGACTTAAAAAATCTGGGCTAGCTTCCAACTGTGATCTTCAGGTCTCAGCCTTCTGAGTTGCTAGGATTACAGGTGTGAGCCACAGGTTCTTGGCTATGGCTGGACATTCAAACAAGCAATACAACTGAACAGAATGGGATTTAAAAACTTGACCAACTCAGGCGCTGGTGGCTCATGACTGTAACCCTAGCTATTCAGGAGGCTGAGATCTGAGGATCATGGTTCAAAGCCAGCCTGGGCAGGAAAGTCCTTGAGACTCTTATCTCCAATAAACCACTAAAAAACCGGAAGTGGTGCTGTGGCTCAAGCGGTAGAGTGCTCGCCTTGAGCTGAAGAGCGCAGGGACAGCGCCCAAGCCCAGAGTTCAAGCTCTATGACTGGCAACAACAACAAAAAAAAAACCCCAAAAACTTGACCAAGGGCTGGGAAGGTGGCTCAGTGGTAGAGCGCTTGCCTTGCATGCATGAGGCCCTGGGTTCGATTCCTCAGCACCACATAAGCAGAAAAAAAAAGCTGGGTAGAGCACTAGCCTTGAGCTGAAGAGCTGAGGGACAGAGCCCAGGCCCAGAGTTCAGGCCCCACGACCAGACCAAAAAAAAAAAAACAAAAACAAAAAACTTGACCAAGACCACCAACTTTAGGGCCTTAGGAGTCCTCTATTCAATCCATTTGAACAGGACCAAAATTTCCTGAAGTCTGTGCCTACACATTAACTGCACCTATTACCTGTGTCCCTCTGGGGAAGTTATTTCTCATGTCCAACCATAATCTCTCGTTATTTTTTTGTAGGTAGTGGGGCTTGAACCCTGGCCTGGGTGCTGTCCCTCAGCTTTTCAGCTCAAGGCTAGTGCTCTACCACTTGAGCCACAGCTCCACTTTCTGTTTTCTAGTGGTTTACTGGAGATAAAGAATCTCACAGACTTTCTTGCCTAGGCTGACTCTGAATGGTGATCCTCAGATCTCAGCCTCCTGAGTAGCTAGGGTTACAGGCTTGAGCCATCGCGCCTGGTTTCAACAATAATCTTGCCACATTGCCACACACCCCTGCCTTATTTGGCAATGACAATGGAAGGCCTTCTAAGCCCTAGCTGTCACTTAAGAGCCCAAACTTCAGAGATGTAGCTGTAGTGACCAGATTTTAAACTTGACTCTGTGCAGAAAGCAAAGATTTAAGAAAATCCCAAGGGAGCAGAAACATCCTGGACAAGTGACAGAAGCACAGAGCTCCAAGCCTCCTGACTTCCAGTTGTATCTTGTGCAAAGGTAAGGTAGACACCTGTCTCTGGAGATGTCTGAAGGGATGGAATGGGCTGCTGGAAGCGGCGGCTCTTTCCTGTCACATTTAATGTTTCTAGGGGTGGGGATCTGGAGCCTCTCACAGGACAAGGCAGAGCCTGGTGGCACAGTAATTCGCTACTCACATTGCAAAGGCTCCCCGTTCACCATCCACTGGACAGTGGGCTTAGGGTTCCCATTGGCTCGACACACCAGTCTCCCATCCTCTCCAGGAGCCAGGATCAAGTTCTTGGGTTCGTCCAGCCAGTAGGGAGCAGCTGGAAGAAAAGGCAGCACAGGCAGGTGAGTTATACAGCGTGAGGCACCAGACAGGCTCCTGTAGGAAGGCAGGAGCCCAAGTCCCAGCCCCAGGCCTTCACCCTAGGTGAGCACCAGGGCTTAGCTTCATGGTAGTGACTTGGTCCAGTGTGGATGTAGCTTACTTGGCCTTGCAGGTGCACTGACAGTGAGTCAGAGCCTACACCTGGGCAGTTAGTAGATGGTAAACAAAAATGCCGTCCCTGAAGGGTTCTTTATGTTTTTTTGTTTTGTTTTTAAATTTTTGCCAGGGGCTTGAACTCAATGCCTGGGCATTGTCCCCGAGCTTCTATTTTGCTCAAGGCTAACAGTCTACCACTTAAACCACAGTACCACTTTTTTCCCTAGACATTTATTGAAGGAAAGTGACTTCCTGCACAGTACCACTTTTTAAAGTAGTTTATTGAAGAGTCTCATGGGCTTTCCTGCTTGGGCTAGACTTCAAACTGCAATCCTCAGATCTCAGCCTCCAGAGTAGCTAGGATTAAACATGTGAGCCACTGGTGCCCTGCCTGAAGGCCTTTTACTGTGCTGGTCCTGGGGTTTGATCTCAGGACCTGGGCATTGTTCCTGAGTTTTTTGCTCAAGGCTAATGTTCTATCACTTGAGCCACAGGTCCACTTCCAGCTTTTTGGTGGTTCATTGGAAATAAGGGTTTCACAATCTTTCCTGCCCAAGTTAGCTTCAAACCAGAGATCTTTGCTCTCTTCCTCTTGAGTAGTATATTACAGGTGTGAGCCACTGTTCCCTGAAAGGCTTTTAAAACATGAGTGCTGGTGCTCACTTTAGATCTACTATGTCAGATTCCTCAGGCAATGCCTAAGTGAAGGGTGCATTTGCTTATTATTGTTAATATTTTTTTTGCAGTGTTAGGGCTTAAACTTGTGATTTTGCAACTGCTGAACAAATACTCTACTACTTGAGCAATGCCCCCAGTCCTTTTGGCATTTAGTTTATTTTTTGGATACGTAAGATCTTATGCTAACTTTGTCAGGGCAAGCTTTGAACCGTGATCCTCTGCCATCTGCCTCCTAAGAAAATATTATCACAGGCACGCACTACCATACCTAGCTTTTCCTATATGTATGTACCAGTCTTGAGGCTTGAACTCAGAGCCCAGGTGTTGGCCCTTAGTTCTTAGTTCCAAGGTAGTGCTCTACTACTTGAGACACAGCTCCACTTTAGCTTTTTTGGTGGTTAATTGGAGATGAGAGTCTCCTTGACTTCAAACCATGATCCTCAGATCTGAGCCTTTGGAGTAGCTAGAATTATAGGCAGAGACACCAGCTCTAGCTTGTTTTTGAGAGAGGGTTTTATTAACTTTTTCCAGGTCTGACCTTGAACCTTAATCCTCCTATTTCCATCTCCTGAGTAGCTTGGATTACAGGCAAATGCCACCACACTCAGCTATGGCTGGTGCTATTATAGGTCATAGCATTTATGATATGTACCGACAAGTTCCATTTATTTCACTAGGCTGGTCTCTTTGGATTTCTGTTGCTGCAAGAGGAGATTATTTAAAAAGACTGTAAATGGGCTCTTTTAGACACTGAACTTCAGTGGAAGCCAAGTACTTCGCTGACCACCTCTTTCAAATGTTTTGACAATTGTGTGACTGTACAGATATGTGGATTTTCCCACCTATCTCAAAGATCTCGATCTCCTCTCCTTAAGATTAAGAGCTCCTTGTTTGTGCATGGTGCTGAAATCAGAGTCACAAGTTCAACCAACAGGGAGTTGAGAAAGTTCTTGTGTTCAGGCCTCAGAGTTCACTGTCCCACTGAGAAGTGACTCAGGCAGCCCATCACACACGCTGGGACCCATGAAAGCAGGTGCTCTCCTGCCTGCAACAGCTCAGGTGGGCTGTCTCTGCTCAAGGGGGGAAGGGAAGTGAGTCAAGAAATCATTTTGGTCAAGATGATTCCCCATCCTTAGCAAGAAGCATCGTGCCATGCACACATACACAGACAGCACAGGCCAAGACAACACATCACGAACGGAAATGCGAAATGAAAGAAAGAAAAGGCTCGGGAATGATCCGAATGGGCCACAAGAGGATACTCCCCCACTGAGGGAGCCCGGCACCTGAGAGAGTTTGTGATGGTCAAGGTGTGGCTCCTTTCCTCAACAGTCTCCCATCCCAGGGAATGACACCACCTGTGGCAGGTCACTGCTGCCCCTAACCATCAAAAATTCCCCTACTTACTGTGCTGCCCAGCCCCCCCCCCTCAGAGGGAAGGGGAGATCATGGCATTTAGGTGTTGAAGGTTAGCAAAATAATCATGAGAAATACACACAACGTACCCTTTACTCTCACCGAGATCGTGTGCCGGATGCTGCCCATCTTGTTGGAGGCCAGGCAGAAGTACTCCCCAGAGTCTTCCTCCGAGACATTGGTGATTCGAAGGGCCTTGTTAAAGTTCTCGAACTTGGCCTTGTCAGATGGGAGGTCCCCACCCTTTTTGTACCATGCGATGTCTGGAGTTGGGCTAGAAGAGGGACCGAACAGGAAACAGAGGACTTACCACAAGTGGTGACCTGTATCTTCTAGACCACCAAGCACTGAGTATCTAGAAATGTACATGGGCCCGAGAGGGTGCCTGGCCTCTCAGAGCCCGCTGTTCCCATTCAGAAGAGGTGCTTAGTCACAGAGTGCCCGAGGGACCAAGCTGAGACCCCCTGTGACCCTCAGGCACCTACAGAGTACAGCTGCTTCTTTTTCTAGTTTTTCAAAGCAGGTATGTCTGGAACAGACGAGGACAGATATGATCTGCAGAGTTCTGCTCCCTAAGGGAAGTTGTTTCCTCTTTATTCTTCTCCTTCTTCCTTCTTCCTTCTTTTTTGGCAGTAGTAGAACTGAACTCAGACCTTTCTGCTGGCTAGGCAACTGCTCTGTCACTGGGCCAAGTCCCTAGACCTCTTTGCTTTAGTTAACTTTTTTTCAGATAAGGTCATGTTTTTACCCAGGCTGGCAGACTGGGACTTAAAAAATTTTTTTTGGTTATTATAAATGTAATATGCAGAAGGGTTACAGTTACATAAGTCAGGTAAAGAGTACTCAGACTGGAATACTAACTACAGCCTCCTATGTAACTGGGATCACAGATACGCACCAGTAATCTTGATTTATTTGTTGAGATGGGGGTCTTGCTAACTTTTTACCCCAGGCTGGCCTTAAACTGTGATCTTTCCAATCATCTCTGAGAAACTGGGATTATAGGCATGTACTACTGCACATTTTTTCTTCCTTTTTTTCCTCTTTTTTTATACTGGTGTGCCTCCAAATGTGGCAAGCGCATAGCATGGACACACTCCCACCCCAGCCTCCTGGAGAGGCTAATGCAGGATGCAAAGTGTACGTACACGCCAGAAGCGATGCACTCCAGCAGGAGATCCATGCCACGAAGTACCATCTGACTGCTGGATGTGCCCTGAGGATACATGAAGCTGGGCGTTCTCTCTGCAACTCCTCGGGCTGCAACAGGACAGAAAAGCTCTCGTGAGCCTCCTGCCCAGAGGGCTGGCGCACGTAGACCAAAGCTATAGGGCTAGAGAGAAAAGCCATCGGACCCTCCCTGGACCTTCCTAGCCCAGCCCACCCCCAGGGCATGGGAAGCAATGAGAGGTGTTAGGAAACTTGGGCTCCTGGGCCCCACCAGCACAAGTGTGGGACTAGCTTTGGGTTCTGAAAGGGTGTGCTAGGAGGAACCTCGATTCTCTGAGTCCAGGAACCCTCCCTTCCCTGGGATTGGGTGTAAGGGGCTAAGAAGTATGAAATCAGCTCCCTGAATTGGATCCCTATGGGGGGGGAGGGGCCGCTCTGGTATCTTCTCCAGACAGAGACTTGGAAAATGGAGAAGGCAGGTATTCGGGGGCCACAGGACAGACAAGCTGCTCTCTGGGACCCTGAAGACAAGGAGCTGGGATGAGGCCACAAAGCCCCAGATAAACAGTCACACATGGGGAGAGAGTTATTAATGGCTTAGCAAAGACATGGAGAGAATTAATGAGCAGAGATGACAGGAAATCACTCTGGGGCCAAGACCACTCTGTCTCCTCACTAATGACTTTAGAAATGGGCGGGGGAGGAGGGTGTTAATTGCATGTGAGATGCTGGGTGAGGGGCGAGGAACGTGGCATCCAAGATGGACGATGTGATCTATAATTCAATGAGGCTGGAGCAGCCAGGGGTGGGTGAGCGGCAATCTATGAAATCCACGTCAGTTTAAAGGGCAGGTAGCTCCCAAGGAGATACTGTCAGAATGGCTGTCCCCCTGTGGGAAGGGTCATGCCAGTCTGGGTGGACCCTACCTTGCTTGAGCTTTACCTCTGTTACAGAGTTCTCTGTACAGCTCTATAGAATGGATGTGATAGATGAAAGCAAGAAATTTCTAACCTTAACACAAAACGGATACACTCTCTCTCCCTAAATAAAAACGTAAAGCGAGCCTGTCTGTGGGCTTTAATGAGTCTTAGACTCAGCTGGACAAGTCAGAGGTGGAGGAAGGCAGAGCTTCCAGGAGCCCTGGGAGATGCCAGAGTGAGAACAGAAGCATTCATCCAGGTTTAATCGGTGCTGGCAGAGGACAGAGTGGTGGAGATCCAGCCCTGGGTACTGTTGCTTTCCAAGGGTGATTGCTGGGTTAGCCGGAGCCTGGCTGGACTCAGGAGGCCCCTAGCCTAGGGACACCCAGCTTTTCTCTGGTATCCCCTGGGAGTTTGCTTCTGTTTAATCTTTTTGGGGAGAAAAGAAAGACAGGCTGAAGTATTGAGGCTCCTGACACCTAGCAAGTGGACAATAAATGTTTGTGGATGGAGCAATTGAGCAGGGAGAAGGAGGAGGAGGAGGAGGAGAAGGAAGAAGAGGAGAAGCACCAGGAGGAGGTGAAGGAAGAGGAGGAGCCGTTTATCCCACATTTTCTCTTCTTGTAGGTGTCCTGTCTCCCCAGCACACACATGCGCTTGTGCACACACACACAACAGTGGCAAATGAAGGGTTAATCCATTATATGGTTAATTGGTTACATCTCTACCTATAGTGCTTGCAGAAGCCAGGTCTCAGGACCTAGGCAGCAGCAGCTTCTGCAGCAGAAGCAGCAGCTTCCACCTCCCTCCCCCGGCCACCCCAGGAATGAATCACCACACAGTGAAGGCAACACAAGTTCAAGGGCACCTTGAGGACAGGAGTCTACGCAGGGCTGGAAACCCTGCTATGATGTGGAAGAGGTCCCAGTTCCGTGTCACACCTATTCCACACAGGGACAAACTCTGCAGAAGCTGATCTGTGAGCCCACAGGCATTTAATCCACCCCACAGCACATAGTCATGACCACGCATGGGCAGTGGAACGGCAGGACAAGGAGGAGGGACCCACGCAGAGCTCTGTGGTGGGCACCTCGACACAAGTAGCTGTGATAGTAGAAAGCCCACAGCCACAGCAGATTTGTGGAATGTGGAATCACAACCCAGAATTAGCTCCAGGGAGAAGAAGGTCCTGGGAAGCAAGTCAGGTTCAAAGAATAGGAAGGAACAGCCTTCAAGGCAGGGGTAGTCACTGGGACCTCCATTAGTGGGCATTTCTTTTTTTAAGGGCCAAGCATTGTGCTAACAGGCCTGTACTTACCCCCATTTCTGAGGCTCTATGGAGACTGTACATCTATTCTAAATCTTCTCTCAGTGTAAACATGGAGTTCCCTCTAGTCCCCACTTCTGGTAGGCCATCTGGGGGCTATCTTTCCTGCTCAAACCAAACCCAAAGTCTCCAGGCAGAAGGGGAAGCAGGATGATGCCTCTGTCTTAATGTTGCTCTGGTGCCTGCCATGTTTCACTCCTCTCAGATTCCATCTCGTTTTGGTGACCGTGGATTAGCTTGTGACCCAAGCTGGGCAAAAATCAGGTGGGGACAAAAGAAGAGGTCTAAAGCATCTCCACAGGATTCTTAGGGACACAAGAGTCAGGGTGACACAGAGCCCTGAGGAATGGGAAGGCTGGTGCCAAAAGGAAGGGAAGAGGAAAGTGGCCAGCTGCAGTAAGTAGACTCTACATGAACATAAGAGGAATGGTCCAGCTGGTAGCTTTGAACCAAACCTTTATGGATTCAGGGCCCACCTGACTCTAGCCAAAAGACAGTCATTCCCCTCTTGTTCCCATAAACTGTGGCTCAGAGCAGACTCATGAACATCTAGGGGATACCAGGACATATCACTATGTCAGTCATGTTGGCTTTAAAGGTCCAAAGAGCACTGGCTCCTGATCACCTCCTGCTGGGGAAAGATCAAGAAGACTGACAAGCTGGGTTGTTTGCTTCCAACAACTGCTACTTTATCAGGATGGCAGCTCAATGAATGGATGTATCTGAGGACCTTTGCCAACAAACAGCTTTTAAGGGTAGCTGGATCCTACTCCAGGCTGCTTTGCTGCTTTTGATTCTTGGAACTGAGAACCAGAGACTCACAGGGCTGGATTCCTGCCTTCCTGCAATCCCAGAATCCCCTCCACCACTCTGGCCCTAGGAATGGCTAACCAAACAATCTAGAAGGTAGATAAACTTTTTGTCTAGTAACTTGTGTTACCTCTCACTGCCAGGAAGCTTCTTCTGTATGCTGAACTCAAGCCCCTTGTGCTGTAGTTGCAGCTTTTCTTCCTTACATTTCTTTAGTCTGCTCTAACACCTCTCCCTGCAGAGTGTGTTCTTCCTGTATACATACCAGCTTTTCTCCCCTTGGCTTCAACTTATCTGTGTGTATCTTATTTTCAGATGAGATGAGGTATATTTTCAGAGTGGTATGGCTGTAACTTTCAGAAATAGATGAAGTAGGGCTGGGGGCATGACTCAAGTGGTAGAGTCCTTGCATAGCAAGTGGTAGGCCCTGAGTTCGAATCCCAGTACCACTGAGAAGCAAAATAATGACAAGAAACAAACTCTATAGGCAACATGAAACCCCTCTCTTTAAAGCCTTCCATTTAAAGTGACACTTTAATCACTGGTATGCTACTCCTTACTAGGCGCCATCTCCCGACTCTCCTCTCTAACCTTCCCGACCATCCAATAGGACTGGCAATATACCCATTTGGCAGATGAGGAATGAAAAGTCCTGAGCTACTAAGTGACTTGTGTAGCATCCATCAGTGGTCTGTCTTGGAGTCTGTATGATGCCACGCAATCTACCTGCTCCACACAGGACCATCTGCTCTCCTGCCTGAGCCATTCCTAAGTGGCTTCCTCTGCCACTCTGCGGGATGGAGCACCCGGGCAATGTTCAGAGGATATCAACCCACTGTAGCAATTGTCAGGGCAGACTAGAAGTACAGGTGACCCTGACGCTATGAGAGAGAGGGGTCATCTTTCAAAGCCAGAGCGACACACTGGGCATGTGCCATCAATGCCATGCCTCTTCAGCGCCCTGTGTTCAGGGAGAATCTTCTCCTTCTCCCCTCCCCCCCCCGCCCCTTTTTTTGTTGGTCATGGGGCTTAAACTCTGGCCTGGGCGCTGTCCCTCAGCTCTTCAACTCAAGGCAAGTGCTCTATCACTTGAGCCACGGCGCCACTTGCGGTTTTCTGGTGGTTAATTGAAAATGAGAGTCTCATGGAGTTTCCTGCCCAGGCTGGCTTTGAACCGTGATCCTCAGATCTCAGCCTCCTAAGTAGCTAGGATTACAGGCGTGAGTCACTGGTACCCAGCTCCTTCTTTGCCTTTTGCCTTTCTATTTCTTTCTAGAACATTGCCTGGCTCTCCTTTGTTCTACATTGACTCTATCTGCTCACTTGGCTTCCTTTTCTTTCTGTTTGCTTCATACCTGGTCAGCCCCATCCTGCCTTGGATTGTAGACAAAGGGAGAGTCTCCAAGTGAGCCTCTTGTGAAATTCTTGTGAATCCACCATCTTGGAAGGTTTCCACAACTCTCACTCGTGTTCTGGTAATAATACCGACTGCTGGTTAAATGCTGTTTTAAGAGGCTGGATCTCTAAAGCTTATTCCATTTCCCTTCATGTTTACCTTACATAAAGCAAGGAGTGAGGGCCAAATGGTCTCTAAGGGACTTTCTGGCTTAGGTCTACTGGCTTCAGAATCCTTCCTAGAATAGATTCCTTGGAATCCAATTTAGGAAAAGGCACATTCTAGCCTGGTAGTGTTCTGGGGCTCTTGACACACTGTGATTGGCTCTGATTGGCTCTATTATCTTGAAAACAAACAGTCCTCAGATTCCAACAAAGAAAGGTCCCCTGCTTTCTCGGCAATAAATCTCTTTGGCAGAATCTCAGTGTGGTTCTCTCTGCTTGGTGCCAAGTGGGAGACTTTGTCTCTCTTCCTGGCTTTTGCTTCCTCATCCCATCCCCCACATTAATCATGGTTTATACTAGCACATCTCCATACCAGCACTTCCTATCTGTTTGAGTCCTCAATGACACCCTTGGGGACCAACAGCCTAGCCTTCCAAGGCATAACTGATGATGGGGATCAGCTGTGTCACCAGAGCCAGCAAATGTTGATTACTCTGGTTGCTCAAGGAAAACAAGGCATTCTTTGGTCACCGTGAGGGGGTAGCTCAGGTGTGAAAATGGCTGATTCTCTTATTAACAGACTGAGCAGCCCACAGTGGGATGTTAGGAGTATGTCCCACTGTAATTGTTCCATGACTTGCAAATGTGGGCTGGTGGGCAATGCATTTGCATACATTACCCCGGTGGAGAAGAGGCACAGCTGTGTGAAGTCAGCAGCGGCCCAACTTCATTTACACTCACCTGCAAATACCATTCCAAGGGGACTCTTGCTCCCATTTCCTTCGACCTACCAGAGAAGTAGCACTCCCAGAATCAAATTCTAGGTGACTGAGGAGCCATTTCGTCTCCACACACTTGAAGAGAGTTAACTAAACTGGAAAAGTTATCTGTGGTATTTAAATGACTATCAGGAGCCAGACTTCCCGTTTCCTTCTAACCTGCTCTCAGAAACTCTCCACCCACCCATCACCAATTCCTAAAAGCCTCTGCTGAAACCTACAGGGAGCTCTTTGGAGCCCCAGCCTGGCTCAAACCACCTGTTAAGAATTCAGCAACTAGAGCTCTGCAGGTTGGCAAGATTACACTTCTGTGTGAGCCCCCTCATTCCCAGACTGGCCATCTTCCCTCCTGGCAGGCAGCATCCTGAGGAGTTGCCGTGGCAACCTGGCCTGGCTAGCTGTCAGCCCTGCCAACCCAGCAGGAGTTAATGATGCAGAATCAGTCAAGTTAGGCAGACTGGGTTAGGACAGGCAAGGTTACTCCCAAGGTTACAGCCACAACTCACCACTGTACATGTCAGGGTGGTTTCGTAAGGACGAGTCATTATAGGGGTGGTCTGCAATAAACAAAAGAGGGTGAGCAAACAGGAGGCCACGAAGAAGTCACAGAGGCATATGCTGGGAGGGAAAAACAGAAAGGCAAAGCCACACATACACACAAAAAAAGAAAACTGGGGTGAGCACCAGTGGTGTTTGCAAAGGAAGGACACAGCGCACTTAGAAAAGAATATACACCCAGTGAAGACCAAGCAACACAAAGCAGCCCCGCAAGGAACATAAAGCTTAAGTCCTGCAAAAGAAGGCAATCATACTTTTTTTTTTTAAAAAAAGGAAAGACATTAGGCTTGAACTTGGCTGGGTCCTTCTATGATTGGAACAAAGGAGGTAAGGATTAGTGTTTCCTAGAGGAAATCTCAGGACCAACTTCTCCCCAGCGTCTCCGGGTCCCCAGGGCTCATTCCATATCAGGCCAGCTGAGGAGAAAGGTTTTAGTGGATTTCTGCCTGTGTGGAAGCTAAGCTGTAGGGATGGGTGGGAAGTGAATTGGAGAAGACCGTCATCAGTAAGAGAGGCCAACAGAGGGACGTTGGCAGTGCCCAGCAGTAAGCACCCCCTATCTGAGCAGGCGGGCACAATTATGCTCCCTGCAAGAATTCTCTGTTGAGAGGGCTCAGCTGAGGTTCCAGCTCTGGAACAGAAGGGAGAGTGTGGGACAGGAGAGCAAGATAGCAAGCTGAGGGTACCACCTTGGTCCTGGAAAGGCCTGCTAACTGTGTTGGAGACTCAGCTCTCTAGACTGTGGGGGATGGAGAGGGGGATGAGGACTCTCCTCCCAGATTAAGAGATTAAACCCTAGGTCACTTAGTCCTTCATAAAAAGACTTTTGGGAACAGGACAGGACATATACACTTGCCACTGTTCTTAAGTAGCTTTTTCCTTCTCCACTGTCCCTGTTTCTTAGAGTTTAAGTTCTGATGGTAGCCACAGGGGGTGGAGGGTGTATAGCTGACTGGAAGCCAAGCAGACAGTCCCAGGAGCCCAGGACACAGTCCAACTGCCTGGGAGCTGCCAGGTGCTGTGCCAAAACATTTGCATATTTGACGACAGATCAAATCCTGTTTCAACTAATTATAAGGATATTCGAGTTCTTTTTTGGGACTGGCATTGCATGTCCAATCTGCTCCACACCCGGCAGGAAGATGTTCATTATTCAGAGCTAGTCTTTAAGACTAGCTGGTTGTGAAGGGGGTGGCCTGGTTGAGAAGGTACTTTGGTTGAATCTAGAGTGAAAGATAATGGAATGAAGGGGTGCAGTCCTAAGGGAGGACTGCAGCATGCAAGGTTGGAAGGGACCAAGTCTCATGCTCCCCTGGTTCCATGCCACAGGCGAGTTTCCTTTTCTGGGGAAATGGCCCACACCTCCCAATAGAGGGTTGGGAGCATGAGTGAGATTTGGGGAGGGAGGCGCCGAGTCCTCTAAGAGCACCATTGGGACATCAAAAGGAAGTGTGGGATGTCCTCACCTCTTCCCTGTGATGTAGCAGGAGGGACCCAATGTCTGTCACTGTGTGGGCAAAGAGGGAACAGGTGCAGCTTGGAAAGCCTGACTCCACTGGTTATCTTTGCATTCTAGAACAGACTCCAAAATGCATTTTGATTTCCCAGTATTTTGCAATCTACCTCTTTCTCTCCCTTTAATGCAATTAATAAAACACCAAGGTGGGGGGATTGATTTCTCCCCGATGGCAAACTTTGGGCAGACTTTTTTGCCTCCCCACCCTCGCCCAAACCCAGCTCTGAAGGTACAAGAGAAAGCCTGTGTCCTTTCCAGACAGGAAAGTCAAGAAAGCCCAACTGTGCTATTTTAAGCAACTGTGCCCAATTCTACGCAGGTTCAGATGCCCAGAACTTGGTTCCAGCCAAAGTTTCCCCTGGGAGAACTCCAGGAAGCCAGTGGATTCTGTTCCAGTCACCTAGACGGTTTCTGTCATTTGGAGGAAGGAGTTTCCAGTGAAACAGAAGACCCAGTAACAAAGCAGAAACAAATATCCCTTACTTCCTCAGGTAGAGAATAGGGTGTTTCTGGAAAGTTCTACTTCTTACCCTCTAAGTGTTTAATTTTACAGAGGATGAGTCCCTAACCCCCACCCTCATCTCCTGGCTTCAGCCTGGGACAGCCAAAGGTCACTCAGCTCAAGCTCAGGAGCAGCAGGTGACCTTGCAGCATCCCCCAGGCAAGCAGCGAGGTCCAGGTGGTGACACAGAGGCTCAGCAAGGTCAGCTTGAGAGCATCATGAACAGCTCTGATCTTCCCACTGGCTCCTCCTCATGCTAGCCCTGACCTGGTTACTGAGGCCACTCTGAGATCCTGGGCAGACCACACTGTCCTGTCCAGTGCAGCCAGCTGGCAGGCAGTCACCTGAATACACTGAGAGACACTGCAGACAAACCACCGTGCTTCCCCGGGAGCCTCCAGGCGCCTGCCCTGCCCCCAGAAGGGAGAAAGGAGTGAGGAGGAAAGGAGAAAACCAAGGGGTCAGGACCCCATCCAAGCCTCTTCCCAGGGGCACGCACCCAAGATATCGCCAGCCACCTCAAGGTGGGCCATGGGCTACCAGGAAACTGGTAGAAACCTGTGGAAACTGCCTGTCCCCAGATGGCCTCCCCACAGACCTTGTCATCCCCTATACTGACAATATTCACAGCACAGCTCTGATACATTGAAGTGTCTTTGGGTTGGGGGGTCTTCTATGCCAGGCATGTTATAAATCCATGGTGTAAACCAACAGAAACAATTTTCAACATCCCATGCAGGCTGAGGGCTTTCTAGCAAAAACCCCAGGCTGGCTCATCCCTGTGTTTCTGACTAAATTTTTCTCATTCCTCACAGAGAGCCACCAACTCTGTGTGTGTGTGTGTGTGTCTGTGCATGTGTGAGTTGTGGGGGTTGAACTCAAGGCCTGGGCACTGTCCCTGAGTTCTTCTGCTCAATGCTAGCACTCTACCACTTTGAGCCACAGTGCCACTTCTAGTTTATGGTGGTTAATTGCCCCAGCTGGCTTCAAACCATGATCCTCAGATCTCAGCCTCTTCAGTAGCTAGGATTACAGGTGTGAGGCACCAGTGCCTGGCTCTGCTGACTCTTTAGCAGGTCAGGAAATGCTGATGTGCATTCGTATCAGGAAATAGAAATGAAAACAAATAAAGTGAAACATAAACCTGCAATTTGCAAAAGAGATTCCATAGAGTTTAGCAAATGTATCATTACAGAATCAAATATAATTTGTTTTGGTGTGTCCACTAACATTTTATGTTCTGGCTTTCTTCTAGAGAGAAAGAGAAGCATGTAATGACTAGAATAAAAGAAATAAGCTGAGGGTATCGGGGGACTTGATGACCTTTGAGCAAGTGGTTCTCAGACCCTGTGGTTATCTGAATGCGAGCGAGGGCTCCAGGGGCCCTTGAGGTAGGACAGGGCTGGGTCTTGCTGTGTGATTCTGATACCCACTAACGTCTGAGAAGCAGTGGTCTAGCACAGGACCAACACTGACTCAAGGCTTCAGCATCAAGAGATGCTGGGGAAGGTTAGCAGCGGCAGCTCAGGCACACTGAGCCAGAAGGATGGCTATAGTGTCCAGGGCTATGTGGGCTCAGAGACTGTCTCCTGTGGCCCCCAGCCCTGGACAGGGGCTACACTTACTGGTGAGGACCTTGAGAGTGAAGGGGTTCTTCTGCTGGATGGTGTGGGTGAAGTGGAAGCGTGCATTGCAGCTGTAGTCGGTCTGCATGTCCTGTTGCATCACATTGGAGAAGTACAGGTCTCCGTTGTGGCCCTGGGAGACGCGTTTGTCCTGGGTGATAGGCTCCATGGCTGGAAGGAAAGCAGAGGTGTGGATGGGGGTTAGGAGTAATGGCCACCATGAAAATCATTACCATCATTCGATGTGTGAATGCTGCAGAAGACCAGCTGGGGTCAGGAGGGTGACATCTCTTGGTTGAAGCCCCTCAACTCTGCTGTAGGGCATATTCCCACTTTACAGATGCTAACCTAGAGGCCAAGCCATGACTGGTTCATCTTTATACCCCAGCACCCAGCTTAGGTCCTGGCATACAAGGGGAAGGCTCTCAACAAGTTTCTGAATTAAATGAACTTGTCCTTGCCACCTTAAAACAACATTTAACCATCAATAATGATTAGATCCAGTTTTTATTTCTTTTCTGAACTTCCTAAGAAGAGGGCAGCTCCTGATTATAATTTGTGTAGCCATCGACAATATACGCCCTGATTTTAAGATGGCTTCAAATTTTGCATATTAAAATAGAGAAACGTGCTTTTTAGAATCAATGGCATTACAGGTTGCAGAATCTATTGTCAGTATCTTTCTCAGCACTGATGCCAATGCACAGCCCAGGTTTCAGGGCTGTCAGGCCCATTAGCATGCACTTAAAGCTGACGACCCTTAGACCGCTCTTTTCCTATCCCATTGTTTTTAAAATCATCATGTCATCTTTCCCACAAGGAGGTGGTCAGCCCTTGGAATCATTTCTCAGAGATTTGCTCTAGGCTTACTAGGTGCCAGGCCCTGTGCTAGGTGTTGAACAGGGAGGTGAGTGAGAACACCAGTTCCTGCCCTGGAAGAGCCCCAGCCCAGCAGGTAACTGTAGGATAGTATTCAGAGTGGGGTGCTCCAGGGGGGAAGGAGATGGATGGGACTGCAGAAAGAGGCCCAGTCTACTCGGGGGCCCTGAGCTAAACCCTGACATCCTGTGCTAGGCAGAACAGAGGAGCTACAGGGTTTCTAAGTAGCAGAAAGAGCCTGTGCTAAAGGCTAACAGGACACAGGCCATTCAGGGGCCCAGGGAGGGAAGGTTAGAAGGGCTGGGAGGGAGAGGAACCTGACCAGGAGGACCAGGGAAAGGAGCCTGGATCTCAGTTCAAGGTGAGGGATGAGCCACTGAAGGGCTTTCAGTATCTGAATGAAATAACCACACTCACAGTTTCATGAAGACAAGGGAGACTCATCTGGGCTAGGTGTTGTAACTCAGGCACAAGCTAAAGGTGACGAGGCTGGGGAGAGGTCAGTGAGGAGGGACAGGAGGCACGGGATCCAATGGGAGCAGGCATGGACACAGCTTGGTGACAAATGAGATGAGATAAAGGAGAGGACAATCTAAACCAGGAATTCACAGGCCAACCACCAGCCTCCCCACAGATGTGAGGAGAGGAGAAAGGCTGGAGACTGCACCAAGCCTGCCTCACTGCAGACAGCTGCTTCTTGTGTGGCAGCCTGCTTTGGAAGTAGGTTGGCAGATGCAGGGATGGACAGAATGATGGATGGCAGGCAGGTAGTTAGACGGATATACAGATTGATAAATGGGAGGCACAGGGAGGGATGGAAGGAGGAGCAGAAGAAGCTGCTAAGTGGGCAGGGAGGAAGGGAAAAGGAAAGCCACAGAAAAGGAGAGAGAAGAGGGTAAGGGAGAAGGGGAAGGGATGGAGGGAGGGAAAAAAGGAGGGGGAGAACTTCTACTTGAAAATAAAGGCCCTATCTGCCTTTATTTTAATTGAAAATGTTCCACAAGCCTCAGATTGAGCCAGCAAAATTTCTGAGCGCTGCTGCTAACTGCCACCCCTCATCAAAGGCTTCATTCCCCCTTTACCTCTGCCCTCCTTGCAGTGTAAATCTGAGCACCCAGGCTGAGCAAAGATGGGGAGGGGGCTTGCCTTCCTCCCCTGCTTCCTTTCTCTTTTTAACCTTCCTTACCACAAATACTACCAAGAGCACCATGTGTGTGTGTGTGTGTGTGTGTGTGTGTGTGTGTGTGTGTGTGTGTGTGCGTGCAGAACTGCAGAAGTATTCTATCATTTATCTTTACAATAATGTTAGTCCTGCTTTTCCCAGAATATGAAACTGAGACCCAGGGACGTTAAGCAACTTGCTCCAGAGCACCCAGCTACAGCAGCCGCTCTGTAGCTGTTCTCAGCCCTGTGGCCCTTGTTTCTCACAGCTCACAGTCTTCCAGAGTGGGGAAACCATCCTTCAACCCCCTCCCCCTTCCCAGACGAGGCTCCAGAACTCACAGCTGCTCATCCAGAAGATGACTGGGGACGGGAGGCCTGGCGGGGGGTTGCACTGCAGCGTCAAGGGGGCGCCTTCTTGAACCACAACGGGGTCCAGGTTTTCTTTGGGCCACAGGGGAGATTCTGAGAAGGAGACAGGGAGGTGAAGTGAGGCTGATCCTAGAAAAGAGGAGCTGGAGAATGGGTGTGACAAGAGATAGGCAGGGCCATGAGTCAGGCGAGGGCTAAGCAGAGCACGGCCTTGGGATGGAGGAAGGATCGAGGTCTTTGATCAGAGCAGACGCCCACCTTCAAGGTGCCCCTCTCCTCTCCCCTCCTGATGCCCCGAGAGGCTGGTGAGGTTGTATCAGACTCTGATCTGGAAGCTTCCTTTCCAGGCAATCTTGCTGAGTGGGAGACCCATGGAGGTCACATGTAGGTCCAGGGCGGGGTCAGCCTTCCCCCCAATGTTGGTCCCACCTGCAGCACTCACTGGACACCTGCAGGCGGATCCTGTTGGACAGGGCCGTGCCGAATTTGTTGCGGGCGAAGCACTGGTATTCCCCCTCATATTCCTCGGGCCGCCCACCGCTGCGGAAGTCAATCACCAGGGTCCCAGATCTTCTCCGCATGGACACCCGAGGGTCCTTGGCGATGTTGAAGAATCTACTGTTCCGGGTCCAGTGGAAGCTGTGGACAGCGGAGAGGGACAACAGTGACCCAGGTCTGCCATAGACTGCCAGGGTCTGGTGCTGCCGGTATTCTTCCAGCCAAGGCTGAGAACCGTGGCTCTGTGTAGGCATTCAACTAGCCATGGGGGCAGGAAAGAGATTCTGTAAGAACACAATTCACAAGCCAGCAGTGATTATGATTTTGGGGGCAGAATGGGTTTGAACTCAGGGTTTTGTGCTTGCTAAAGCAAGTATACCATACCACTGGTACACCCTATTTTTTTTAAGCTTCTTCTTTTTAAAAAATAGGGTCTTATACTATTTGTCTCAAACCAATCTTGGACCATACTCTTCCTACCTCTGCCTCCCACATAGCTGGAATTATAGATGCAAACCACCATACCTAAACTTGTTGGTTGAGATGGGGGTCTTACTTTTTGCCTGGACTGACCTCAAACTTGGATCCTCCTATTTTCTGCCTCCTGCACAGGCAGCATTACACACAGTGCTTGTCTGGGAGGCCTGGGCTGTCTCTGCTTCTCTTGGGAAGATGCATGTATCTGCTCTGGCCAGGCCCTTGTGGCTTGGCTACACATGTTGAGCAGGAGGAGAAGCAGGAGCAGTGTGACTGGTAATTGCTACTGAGTCCTTTTCCTAACAGAGGAACCGTGGGGAAAAGACCAAACCTCAGCAGCATGGTCCCCAGTACCTGGGCCAGAACACAGCCAGAAAGTGTCCCCTGAGACTGGACACGCCATGGAGAGATTGATCTGAGGCCTGCAGGAGGCTCCCGCTGGGCCCAGTCTGGGAGGTAAAGATGGACAACCAAGCATCTACCCCATCAGCAGTTGGGGACCAACCCTGACCTTGAAGGGTAAGAGCTGTGCATTTAAATCTGAATTCTACTTTTTTTTTTTCTGGTGTTACCGGGGTTTGAACCCTGGGCCTTACATTTGCTAGGCTGGTGTGATTCCACTGAGCCATACCTTCAGCCCTATTTTTCAGTGGTTATTGTTAGGATAGGGTCTTGCTTCCTGTCTGGACACACTGAAGTGGACCGCTTCAGCTTCCCAGGGTCACTGGGATCACAGGCACATGACTTTCAGTCAGCTTCTTCCCATGGAGACAGAGTCTTGCAGACTTTTCTACCTGTGCAGTCTCTGAACTGTGATCCTCCTATTCTAAGCCTTCCAAGTAACGAGGATCCCAAGTGTGAGCCACTGGCACCCAGTTTCAATGGCATATTCTCAGGATCCCTTTATCCCTACTCACCTGGGAGCCGGGTTCCCCTTTGCTTCACACTCAATCAGGATGTTATCCCGGGGGTCCACGATGTGGTCCTTCACGGACTGCTTGGTGATGGTCGGGGGCTGGGTCACTGCAGCAGGGCACATGGAGGAGGGAGGGGCAAAGTTACAACTTCAGGGACTCACCCAGGTCCTGGCTTGGGGAGCGGCTAACACCAGGCACTAGCGGAGCCACCTGGGCAAGCAGGTGTGAGCAGAATCCTATTCAAGAGGTGCCGTTTCTTAAATGGGGCTGCAGGAGGTGGGAGTCAAAGGCTGAGCCTAAGACCCCTATGAGAAACTGGAATCCAGACTGTTTTCCCCCAGGCTTAGATCCCAATGCCCAGCACACCACATGGCAAAAATGCTCTTGAGAACTGAATGCAGAAACAAAAGCAGCTGTGTTTCTAGAATGTAGGGCCTGGTACTTCTTGAGCCTGAGGCTCAGTAGATGGCCAAGTGCAGAAAGAACTGAAGGAGCCCTCGATCCTGGAGAACTTCCCACGACTCCTTGTGTGCCAAGGAACCACACTGAGCTGGGGGACCTGGGTCAGCCACTGGAGGATAGGGGAGCAGCAGTGTCTATAAGGCACCACAGCTTCCTTCCAGGAACCCTCTTCTGAACCCCCTCTTCTCTTTGGGCTCATAATAGGATGCCCTGGGGAAAGTGTCCCTGTCCTGTGATCAAGGATCTCACATGCTTGGCTAGAGTGAGAGCCCCAGCTGAAGCCCCAGCAGAAGACCCCAATGGGTCGTCCCCAACCTCTGGTGTCCCTCACCTGGCCCTCCTGCCTCCCTCCCGCCTCCCAGAGGCTCACAGAGGACTTACGCTCATTCTGAATGCTTGCTGTTAGTTCCAGTGGTTAGCATTGGGAAGGGGAGAAAAGAAAAAAATTGTTATCACACACCACTGTTAGGTGTCCTTATGCCCCAGCATGCGGGGAGAGGGGGTGGGGATGGCGAGCGGGGCACTCTCCTCCCAGGTGCAGAACTCATAGGAGAGCCAAGCAGGCTTGAGGCCAGTCAGGCCTCCCTGGGAGACCAAAACCACACCATGAAGCAAGACCAGCTTTTGACCAAAGGGAGAGGCCATTAGAGGAGCCCAAAGTCCATAACTGACAAGGAGGCCCTGAAGATGTTTCTTAGTATCTGAGGCCATCTGCGAAGTGGACTCCTCAGTCCATGGTGAAAGGGGAGGTGCCAGAAAAAGTGCTGGCTCTGAGCCACTGCTGCAGGGCCAAAGCCTAAGATGTGGAGGCCTCGGCACCCAGCAAGGCCCATGGCCTCATTTCTCCCACCCTCTCCTCTTCCATACATGAAAGCATGCTCTCTCCTCAGTGGCTCCTGCTTTTCTATCCTCTGCACTGTGGCCAAGCCCACTGCTCCCAGAGGGGCAAAGAGGCAGGGTCCACAAAGCTTCCCCAGCTAGAATACACCAGGGTTCCCACACAGATGTGCATACCTCTGTGTGTGTGTGTGTGTGTGTGTGTGTGTGTGTGTTTCTGATTTCTACATTTGAATAAGTATACAAATCACCTTAAGTCTGGCTAACAGGCAGGTTGCAATTTAGCTGGGCTGGACTGGAATCTGGATTCTGTTTCTCTTTGTGGTTGTTTTGTCCTACAGTGCTGGGGATAGACCCCAGAAACTTGCAAATGCTAGGCAAGCCCTCTGTGACTGAGCTGTTCCCTAGCCCAAAGTCTGCCTTTCTGAAAAGTTCTGGGGGAATACTGAGGAAGGCAGTCTGTTAACCATGCTTTGGATAGCAAGATTCTAGTTGATGTGCGTTCTTTGTGGGGAGGACATCTTGGTTCCAGGGTATTTGGGGAAGACAGACCGTGGGCCTCCCTAACTTCACATGCCTGTCCTTAAGCTATTGAAAAGCAACACGGCATCTTATCTTACATGAGTGGGGATGTCAGAGCCTGCACTGGTGTGGACAGCTGGCGTTTTCAGAAAGAGTGCTGCTGACAGGAGTGGAGGCTATGGTCTAGGGGCAACCCCGAGGCGTTCTGGCCTGAATAGAGTGAGACATGGAAGAGGAACACAGGGCCGCAGAGAAGGCACCCTGGAGGGCCAGAGCTCAGCTTGGGAGGCTGAAGGACACGAGCCAGGGGAGCATGGCAGCTGAATGCCCTACAGTGCACTCCATCAGCAGGGGAAAAGTCCTAACAGCGTGAGCAATGAACAGGTTCAACGTGCGCCAGGGTGGCGCGGCCCAGGGAGCACGGAAGTGACGTTTGTCCAGGGAGGGCTGGGGAGGGAGGGAGAGGGAAAGCGTAGCTTCTGAACATGTGCCCTGTGAGCACCTGCTCTGCATCTCTGCCTGGACACCATTCTCCCACCAGGGGCCCAGGAAAGGCTAGAAAGCCCATGCAGTTGGCAGAGGAGGGAACATTCTCAGGACAGGCAGGGCTGGCTTTTGAGACCACTCCTTTTGGCCACCAGTCTAGGCCTGGGTTTCTACATTTCAAGACCCAGGTGGCATCTCCTGGATCCTCGTGTATGATGGAGGATCAACAGAGGCTCTGGCGTCCAGCAGAGGATCAGAGGACGCTCTGACCTCACCCCAGTTGACTGCCTGACACAGGACCTTCCTTCTTCACCCACACAGACTCTGGCCTCTCTGGTAGAGTCAAAACTGGTTCAAGGAATCTCAAGTCTAAGAGTAAAGGCAGCCCTTTGGGTAAGACCCCAGGGAATTGTGCTACGGAGCTGGAATGGAGTCCCAGTCCTCCAAGGCTTGGTCCAGGGCTCATCTTTACAAATGCTTGCACAGATGGAGAAGCGAATGGCCTCAGAGCCCTGTCCCCTTGACTCTCTGAGTAAGGGGTAGAAGAGAGACCTTTGAAGGTGGAGACTCACAGGGCAGCCACCACAGGATGGTTGCTGCCCCTAACCCCACGCAGCCCATCTGGCCAGGGCCTTTCTTTAGAATCTACTCGCTTAAAGAGACAATGACATTTGTAGCCACCGCTGTGCCTGCACTCCCAAGGAATTTATCACAGGAACACAATCAATCTAGAAGACAAGCTAGCATGGGGGGTATGGGAGAGACGGTGGGAATGGCCTGTCTCAAGACAAGGACGACTAAACCCCTATCCAGTGTCATACCACCTGCTCACCTTTCCTTTTATGGAACTTGCTGTCTGTCAAGTGAAGAATGAATTTCTGCCTCAGTCCTCTAAGGGGGAGAAGAGCTCTTCTGCCCTGGCCTGGCAGGGTGAGCAGGGGCCTCTCTAGGCTGTTTTTGCCCTCAGGAACTTCTTCTGGTCCCCATTCTTCCCTCAGAGGACCAGGATGGAGCCTGTGGGGGAGTGTTACTGAGGCCATCCTGCAGTGCTATTTGGATGAAAGGGAGTAGGAGTGTCTTCCCCGCTCCACAGGCCTCTCTGTGGGTTTCTGGAAGGAAACACCAAGTCCCCATGGTGTGTGAGGGAGATGGGAGGGCCAAGCTGCCAAGAGACTCACTTTTGGACAAATCTCCTCTGGCTGATGAGGTGACCCTTTGCTTTTTTTCAAAGGTCGTGCTGTTCTACTTGGGGCCGAGAGGAGGGAGGTGGCGGTGGGAGGAAGGTGCGTGTGACTTCACTGGCAGAATGGTGGGAGCTGGAGGCTGGGTTTTCAATGAGGGATTGTACAGCAGCCACGGGCACTGGTCCAGGAGGTTGCTGCGTCCCATCCCCCCAGAGAAGCGGCGTCCAGCCCTTCAGGCACAGAGAATGCCCGGGACACCTGGAAGGGGAGTCTCTGACCTGAGGCCCTCAGAGACGGAGGGTGAGCACAGCTGATATGGGAACAGGCTGGGGAAGAAGCCTGGTTACCAGGGCAACTGGGTCTTCCCAGAAGGGTCAGAAGTGCGGGCCTTGCTGTTGTCTGGGAATCAGCTTCTGCAGACTCAACTTGGAGTCGCTCTGATGGCCTGGAGCCCTTGGGAGGCACAGTATACTTGGGGCCTTCTGAATCCACACAGCCTGGGCTACTTGTACTGGTGTGACACAGGGACTCCCCTATCCAGCACAGAGGCATGAAGCCATGTTCCTGGCTCTGTGCTTCCCTGTTTCCTAAGCTGTCAGCTAAGGTCAAGCTCTGCTTCCCAGTTAGCCAGGGGATCATGTGTGTGGCAAGGCAGTGCGGCACTGAGCTCTGCCTGGCCCAGGACAGCTGTGACTACAGAGTCTATTCCGACTACATCACTGTTTCGTTGTGTGACCCTGAGCAAGAACGGAGCTGTGAATACAGCTGTGAATACAGCAGGGAAGGATACTGGGATGGGGACACTGTGGTGGAAGGCTCTTGGCACTTGGGAGAGACCTCCTGGGCCTCCATCTCCAGTGAAATTCAGATCTCAATTCTGTTATTTATTTATATGCTGGTCCTAGGGCTTGAACTCAGGGCCTGGGTGCTCTCCCTGAGCTTTGTGCTCGAAGCTGGCATTCTACCACTTGAGCCACAGCTCTACTTCTGGCTTTTTAGTAGTTAATTGGATATGAGGATCTTATGGACTTTCCTGCCCAGGGTGGCTTCAAACCGTGATCCTTAGCCTTCTAAGAAGTCAGGTGTGAACCCCTAGCACCTAGCTAGGATCTCAATTCTTAATGTGAATGATGTCAATGCTAGTTCTCCCTCCTTCCTTCTCTTCTATTTTTCCTTCTTTTCTTTTCTTTTGGTAGTACTTTTTTAAACCTTTTTTTTTTTCAATTCAAGGCCTTCATGGTGCTTGCTTGGCTGGTCCTCTTCCACTTGTGCTATGCCTCCAGGTCTTTTTAAAATTTTTTTTTGGCAATACTAGTATTTGAACTCAGTGCCTTATACTTCCTATGCAGGCACTCAGGTAACACATCCATCCCTTTGTTTTTAGGTTTTTGCCCTTTTTCTCCAGATGCATACTATGATGTTGATGGGGCCTAGGCTTGGACCTAGATGGTCCTCCATGATGCCTCACAGGCAGCTGGGGTAACAGGCGCACACATCCCCAGCCTGTTGGTCGAGAGGGGAAGGTCTTAATAACTTTTTGCCTGGGCTTGCCTTGAACTCTGATCCTCCTAATTGTCCACTTTCTGAGCAGTTGGTATTGCAGGCATGAGCCACGTATTTCTGAGTTCGCTTTGCAGGGGCTCCTCCCCCACTGACCCCAGGCATCCTGTGGCAGGTGAGTGAGAAGTGGCAGAAGAGAAACAAGCCTTCATCACATTCCTGATAACCCAATTTCCTCTGCACCCCCACCCCTCTAGGGACGTGGCCTTATCATGCTCCTTATTAGATTGTCTGCCTGGGACTGTTAATGAGAAACTCTCCTTGAGCCAGCTGCACAGACCGTCACCATGGGAACAGTTCCTCTCACAACTCCCATCTCCTCCCTCCCCGTGTTCATGCGTTCACACACATTTGGGGTGGGCTACAAAGGCCTTGCCTATCTTGTTTCTGGTTCTAACATGCATTTCTGGCCTCTGTCATCCAGAGGTGCCCACTCTTCTCAGGAAGCTATTATGGTGATGTGGGGTGGAGAAGGGTCTGGCTTTGGACAGCTCCACTGAAGGGGGACCCCTTGTGCCCCTCCTCAGACATCTGTTGACCAGACAGGGCAGGTCCATGTTGGCATCATGTGAGCCACACATCTCTTGAGACAAGGGACATGGGCAGAAGTGGAGCCCACACCATAGTGGAGACATCCTAGTAGTAATGTCAGAACTATGGCAAAGGGAGCAGGTACCTACAGGCAGGACCACTGTGGCCACCAGTCATCTGAACACAGCCACAGGCTGGCGTGTAAACATACCGTTGCTCTGTCAGATCAGCATGTCAGGCTCTGGGAAGTCTGGAAACAAGGAATCCATGCCTGGTTCCCAGGGTACCATTGTAAGTTGGTTTTATTTTAATGTCTTATGTAGCCAGGTCTTTTTGTAAGATAATTCTCCTCCCAACCCTCTCAAGGCCTTCCATCCTCCAGAGAACTCTAGCCAAGAGCACTTAGGGTTCCACTTTGCATATATGAGGCTATCATGTGGCTTTCAGGATTCCAAACTATCACCACTTACCAGTAGCCCCTCCAGTAGCCCCAAACATCAGCGTAGCCCTGTGAGAACAGCCCTGCAACGTACAATCTCTTATTTCCAAACACAAGCCCGTGTCAGTTCTTCAGAGAGAAAAATCAGCTCTGGACCCCAGAATCCACTGCTATCCTGTCTCCAACTGGCTTAACAGGTCTTAGCTTTCCCTCACTTCTCTTCACCCCCTTCCCTCCCACTCCTCGGCCCAAAATCAGCAGGGAAAAGAGAAGAGCAGAAAGTATAACTCACGATCCATAGGAATCTCGATGGCACCACTAAGGCTGAGGAGGAAGAGGAGGAAGGCTGCATGGACCCAGGGTGGTGCCTGCTGCCTGGCCATCCTCAGCACCAGGCCCCACTCCCTGCTCCCCAGCCCTCGGGGTCTCGCTGCCTTGTGCCGCTCTAAGTGGGCCTCCCGGACAGAGCTCAGCTGTGGAAAGAAACACAGAAGCAATAAGGTCCTCTTGAACATGTGGTCTGCTTCAGTAACCCTACAGGGCCTGGATGAGCTCAAGGGTCCCCTTGGTCATAGATTAGGGGTGTCTGAGGATGGAGTTTTAAACTTCAGCACTATTGACACTTGGGACAAAGTAGTTCTTGGTGTATGTGGCAGGGGTGAGGGTGGGAGAGGGGGAGGAGAGCTGTTCTGGGCACTGTAGGATGTCTAGCAGCATCCTAGGCCTCTACCTACCAAGTGCTAGTAAAGCCCACGGGTGCCATCAGTCAAAAATGTCTCTAGCCGGGCACTGGTGGCTTATACCTATAATCCTAGCTACTCAGAAGGCTGAGATCTGAGGAGCCCAGGCAGTAAAGTCTGTGAGACTTTTATCTCCAACTAGCCAGTAAAAGTAGCTCCAGTGGTAGAATGCCAACTTAGAGCAAAAAGTTAAGGGGCAGTGCCCAGGTCTTGAGTTTAAGTCCCAGTACTGGCACACAAAAAAAATCTCTGAACATTGTCACCTGTCTCAGGAGGGCAACTGCACAGAACAGTCCTGAGGCAAAACACCAGTCCCACTCCTAGCTTTCAGAAGACAACACACACTGAGCTGGAAGAACCACTGCAAGCCTACAGCCTGCTGGACCATGTGCGCTGTGTGTGTGTGTGTGTGTGTGTGTGTGTGTGTGTGTGTGTGTACAGCCTGCTGGACCATGTGCACTCTGTGTGTGTGTGTGTGTGTGTGTGTGTGGTGGAGGTTCAGGGTAAAGATCGTGGCCCTGTCTTTTGATCCCAGAGTGGCAGAGCAGGATGACATCAGCTGCCCTAGGGGTCATGGACATGAACTTGGCTGCCCAAAGAATTTTTAAAAATTATTTCTGAAAACACTTTGTCCTAATAAAGGTATGGTGATCCTTGGCATTGTCCTGCTCCAGGCAATAGCAGTAGTGAGGCAGTGACCTCGTAGAAACAGGCTTCGGTGAGCAACAGAGTGGGTGATGTTTATGATAGTTCAACATTAAGCATAGGACTTATAAGAAAAAGGCTAAAAATGATTGTTCAAGGAAAACAGATGCTTAATGGATTCTGAGAGAGAAGAAGAAGAGAAGCCTGCAGCTGAGAGCTCATACACTGCTGTATTTCCTGGGGCTCTGAAACATACAATCTTCATAATTGGTTCAGTTAACTGTTCTGCCAAGCCAAGTCAAAGGAGAAGGCAGGCAGTGCCTTCTCCAGATTTCTTCCAGCTTTTCTGGGCTAACAGCTGTCTATCACATGGACACATAACTGGCAGCAACTTAGTCCTTTGTCACCTGTATATAGCCACCATCTCCCATCCATCTAGAAGGGTAAAGCACAGGAGCAGGCTCCTGGGGATAAGGACAACCTTCTTGAGACCTGGAGTAGGAAGCAGGCCACCAATCACTGCAATAGAGATGCCTCCTGTGCCCGGATGTAGGGCAAGTGGAAGGATACTGATTCACATCTTAGCAGTTTCTTCCCTGTCAGCAAGGCCTAATACCAGCCCCAACCTCATATATATGAGTATGTGCGCATAGGCACAGATGCATACCCCCCACCCCACTACGCGTGTGTGTGTGTGTGTGTGTGTGTGTGTGTATGTGTGTGTGTGTGTGTATGTGTGTGTGTGTGTGTGTGTATGTACTTCATTCACCTGCCCCTCTTGCTCTCTCGTTTGTTGTTTGACTCCTTGAGTTAATCATAGCACAGCACAAAAGACATAGCAGGTCTCAATAGATGATAAAGGATATATAGATGTATGGGAGGAAAAAAAGAATGGAACAAATGATTAAGTTAGTAAGAGCACGTGTTTTGTTTTTAACCAGTGCATATTCCTTTAGAAAACCACCAGGTGGAGCAAGAGGGCGCTCACTGTGAGTCTGAGCAGCGCACAGTGAAGATGAGTTTTTCTATAGGTTAAAATGTACTCTTGCCAGGAAATCAACCTGCTGGAAAAGGGTTGCGAGAGAGCAGTAATGGAATGCTTTGGCTAGAAGGCATCACAGAGATCTTTGTTTCTTTTTCCTAACCTTCTAAGACGACTCTTACACGGTTTCTCAAGTTGCCCAGGAAGGCCTCTCTTGGTATACACATTGCCAAAGGTGAGACACAGGTCCTGTAGCCAAAAGCCTTGTATGGGTAGAACCTGAGCTAGGGGAAGGCTCAGCAACTTCAGGAGGGACAGTGGGACAGCTCCAGCTTTGGCTCCAGACTACCAGGTTTTGCTCAGGACCCCCCAAGCAGTAGGATATCATGGGAAAGAGAAGGATACTTTGTTATGAAACAAGGAAGCCAAAAGCGATTCATTAACTAGAAACACAAAGGCAAAAAAAGAAAAAAAAAAGCTCAATCATTGTGAATATGTTTACCTCACAATTTAACAACTCAAGAGAAAAAGGATACAGATTCACAGCTAGCTGATTCAAGGTTTTTCTCCCACTTTACCCTAAAGAGGCAACTTTTCCAACCAAATCTTAAGAGAATTAATTAAACATTAGTTCATTTCATAAAATACTCTTACTTTCAGATAAGCCCAGGGAGGGAAAAGGATTTGTCTAACCCTGCTGGTTAATGGCAAAAGCTAAGAAACAAACCCAGGTGTCCCGACTCCTTTTAAAGCACCCAGCAGCTTCATTTTTGATATGTAGGAAAGTCCCAGAGTGAAGGTGCTAATTTCAAAGGGAGCATATAGTCTGGACATTTCTTGAAAAGTTAAAGATAAAATTGCCATATGAGCCTTTAATCTTCTTGAAGGTATATGCCTATGAGATAAAAAGATTAAAAACAGCTACTCAGAGAAGTACTTGTGCAATCTGTTCATAGCAATATCGTTTGCAATGGCTAATAGGTAGAAACAAACCCAAGGTCCACCCAGAGATGCATGGAGGAAAACATTCAGCGTACACATACCAGACAATATTATTCAGTCATAGAAAGCATGGGAACAAACTGGGCACTAGTAGCTCATACCTGTAATCAGGAGGCTGAGATCTTATCTCCAAAAAACTACTGAGAAAAAGCTGTAAGTGGCATTGTGGCTCAAGTTGTAGAGCATTAGCCTTAAGCAAAGGATGTTCAGGTACAGCACACAGGCCCTGAGTTCAAGCCCAGGACCAGCACAAAAACAAAAAAAGGAAGGAAACACTGATATATGCTACGATGAAAAACAGGTACAGTGAAGTCCCATACTAAATGATCCATGAATAAAATTTTGTATAACAAGTATCCAGAATGAGCAAACACATAGAATACCCAGATTGGTGGTGACCACGGGTAAAAGGGAAAGGGCCTGGGGGCTGACTTTGCTTAATGGTTTAGATTTCTTGGAGCTGAGGAAGATGTTTTGCAACTAGACAGAGGTGATTATAGCGTACATGATGAATGGACTGTCACTCAACTGTGTGCCTTTAAGAGGCTTGGTTTATGTGTTTTGTCTCCTTAAACAAAGAACGTGTCAGGTTGGTCTCTACAACATACTCATAAAATGAAGGGCCACAATGAGAAAGGTGGGTGATGGATGTGGACACAAAGGGCTGCCATCCCTACACCTGAGCACAAGGAGAGAAAAGAGAAAGAGTGGAGCCGCCTGACCAGGAACTGTTTGGCCACACTGAATCGTGAATCACACTGAATCACTGCTTCATACAGAATCCCACTGTGGAGAGGTGCATTACAGAGAGGAAAGGGAATGTTTCTTAGAATCACTCGGGCCCCATTCAAACATGCAAATTCCTAGACTCTCAAACGCTAGGAAGAGACGAAATCAGTGTGTGTGTACTGGGGATTGTAATGCAGTGTGTGTGTGTGTGTGTGTGTGTGTGTGTGTGTGTGTGTGTGTGTGTGTGTGTGTGTGTGTGTGTACTGG